TTCCGGTCAGTTTAGATCGCCGCTAACATCTCCACGTTGTACACGCGTGCGCGGGCATTTTCACCACGCCTCCGCGCATGCAGACAGCCAAGCCTTATGAGGTATCAAGACAAGGCCAAGCTCATCAAGTCATACCATAACAGGTATCACGGCTAACCCACCATGTACTAGCGAGCCGTTGGAAATGCTTAGCGAGTTTCATGCTCCGTGCCCAGCATTCCTACACCTGCACCGACGCGCAGTATTCACACAATGTGGCACCGAGTAAACGATCTGGCCATTCCACTATGACTTCAGGGTTCAGAGAAAGAAACTCCTGCGGAGGAGGGCGGGAAATACGCCGCGGTGGCGTTCGCAGCGGTGCTTTATTACATTGCATGCCCTGAGCTGAGGCATATATCACCCACTTCGTAACTCGCACACCGTAGCAGATCCTAGAGATCGCCCACACACACACATACGCGTCCCTCAGCCCATTGCCCGGACACCATGACTTCCGATCTTCAAAGTATGTCTCAGGCAACCCAAGACCGTGGTTCTCTTGTCTGACCGTCCGTCTAGCTTCACCTAATGGCCCATCACACGACCAAGCTGCTGGGCAAACAAGCGCTCCAGTAGGCTCTGGCACTACGCCTTCGTCAAACCAGGCCAATGTCGGCGCCGAGCATAGGACAGATGCCATTGAGCGGCTGTCATCTGTAGACAATGCATCGTCGCGGGGAGCCAAGGACGATGTCACCATCACCGTCCACAACGATCCACTCGATCTCCGCAAACACATGCGCGACGATGTGACCCAGAAACAGATGAAGAGTGACTATCCACTCGCCAAGCCCAGGCATATGAAGAAGTTCTACACAAGACAGAATGCCTTGATCGATCAGTTCCTTCAGAGCGGAGATGAAGAGCGCTTGGCTGCTCTTGACATGGTCGAGAACGGACCCAAGGTCCGCTTCGCCGTGAACGCTTCGTTCATCGTCAACTTCTGCTTGTTCATCATCCAGATGTACGCGGCCATCTCCACGGGTTCATTGTCGCTGTTCGCGACAGCTGCGGATGCCTTCATGGACTTGGTCTCGTCGGTGGTGATGCTCATCACATCGCGCATGGCAGCACGGCCAAGCGTTTACAAGTACCCCGTGGGGCGGACGCGTATCGAGACGATCGGCATCATCATGTTCTGCTGTTTGATGACCACAGTAGCCATCCAGCTCATCGTAAGTACTCCTTCCCGTGTGGCCGGCTCAGCTATTGACATGTAACAAGATCGAATCTGGGCGTTCCTTGGCTGGCGGTGCCACGGAATCGGAGGAGCTCCACATCATCCCCATCGCCTTCGTTGCGACAGCCATCTTCTGCAAAGGCTCCCTGTGCGTCTACTGCTTCATCTATCGGCGTTACCCCGCTGTCCACGTCTTCTTCATCGACCATCGCAATGACATTGTCGTCAATGCCTTTGGTCTTGCCATGTCGATCGTCGGTAGCCGCGTCGTCTGGTATGTTGACCCTATCGGTGCTATTCTCATCGGTCTCTTGATCTTGGTTTCTTGGGCTGCCAATGCTTTCGATCACGTCTGGCTGTTGGTCGGCAAGTCCGCACCCAAGGACTACATCAGCAAGTTGATCTACATGGTTGTTACACACGACGACAGGATTCAGAGAGTCGATACTTGCCGCGCGTACCATGCTGGGCAGAACTACTACGTGGAGGTAGATATTGTCATGGATGAGGGTCTGCCGCTGAAGGTCACTCACGACGTCTCGCAGACCCTCCAGAGGAAGCTCGAAGGTATGTCTCACTCAGCCATTAGTTTCCAATACACGACACTAACACGCGACAGGTCTTGCCGACGTTGAGCGAGCCTACGTGCACGTCGACTACGAAAGCGAGCACGACATCTTCGAGGAGCACAAGCCCCTCTACGAAGTTACGCAGTCGAAGACCATCAAGGAACGCGTCAAAGCTTTACGCTACTTGTTCAAGAAGAACGAGAAGGGTGCTTGAGCACCAAACTCTGTATGCTATGTATTTTTACGATGCCATTAGCATCAAAAGTTCACGTTTTCCTTTACCTCATTTATACCCCGGCGCAGCAATATACAAAGCCGCTGTTGTTACTGCTACTGTTAATGCGAATGTTATTGTTAATGAGACACATTGTCTTAACCCTAGAGCTGTCTTCTGCATCGTGTTTCTTCTTCTTCAACTTTCTTTGTCCCAAGCCTTTGACACCCTACAATGGTACTGAAACCATTGTTAGACAGCCACTACCTCTCTCTCTACTTTTTGTCTCTTCTCATAATTGACCTTACCAGCAAAACCTCCACCTTCTTCTAGAAATCTCACGCCCACATCCCCTGCTTCCTAGTTCACATATCCATCTCCGCATCTTGATATCCTAGCAACTCACGATATGTCTCAATCAGTATCATCCCCCAGTCTAACACCCAAAGACCCCGAAGTTATTCACGAAAACCCAGATTCAGCAGCGACAGCCCCATCCGACCACTCTGATGACACTGAAAATACTCATCGATGTTCATCGTCATCAGTAACAGCCGCATCAGCCCACTCCGATGACACCGATGATACCGATAATACTCACGAAGAACCATCATCACCAGTAACAGCCCCATCTGACCACTCTGATGGTACAGCTGATGCCGCCGACACAAAAGTCTCACCCACCAAGAACGACTTGAAAGATCGTAGGCCTCTAAGCAAAGTACAAGAGCTAGCAGCTTGGTATGACTCACAGGCGAACGGGAACTTGAGACTACAAGTTCTAACATGGGACGGAAGGGCGGTAGATGCGCCTAAACATGAGTCTAAGAAGTCTAAGAAGACATCGCAAGCGGAGTAGGGTTTGATGTAGCAAGGCGCGGTAGATGGGCTGTTGGTTGAGAAGGAAATGGGAGAGGATGGGGGGGTTAGATGGATGTCTGCTTGTTTGAAGGATGAAGGGCGTTAGGTTAGCTCATGTAGCAACGAACCATTATTTCATCAGATTGATCGCGGTGTAGTACTCGTATGCTCTTCACGTATAAAGACTTCTCCATTCATGCCTCCATCCCAGCCTCCTTCACCCCCCCTCCACCCATTCTTCCTTCCCCACCTGACCTCGACCATATTCCCCTACCCCTACTCTTCTTCACTCATCCTAGTCCTACACCTCTTCATCAGCGCATTCATCTCCGACAGTGACATCCCCAAGAAAGCAAGAGTGGTTATTATCTCTGGCTTCATTCTAGCAATCGTTCTTTGGTTCCTTTGCCACACGCGGTATCACAATGTTGCGCTGCACAATAGTGTGCAGGCGTGTCGCTAAAAGACTACCAGGCAGAGGTATACTGCTGAGCGGTGTGGGTTCAAGTTTGGGAATTGTATGAATATTCTCAAAGCTTGTGCTGGGGAGTTGCGCGGGGGGATTGAGGGAGGGGAGTGGAGAGATGGGCTGGAATGGTTCCATTTCTCTGAGACCGAGCCAACATTGTTGTGATGTTTCTAGGTACATGGATTCCTTTAAGCCAAATCGCTGGCTCAGGTGTCGTGCGGGCAGATTAACTGCTGATATGCTGGAAACGCCTTGGACTTTCCCCCCGCCTGCACTCCTTATGCATGAATATCCATCACCTGCGCCGACTCAAAACGAGTTATTTCTCACCGTCTCCTTCTAATGTCGGAATGGCGAAGGAAAAATTCGTCAAGCTCCATGACCGCCCATCCTCCCTGTCTGACACGTCGGGCCCTCTCTTGACTTATGGAACGCGCTTTCTGGAACAGAAGAGAGGATATCTGGCCTTTGCAGCTGTCAGAAACGTAAACATCCTCCTTGTTGAAGTTCGCGTAGACTTCTGCAGCGTCGACACCCAGAGAATACCACGCGCCTCCGTCTAATTTGGCGGCTTCGTATCGCGCTTCACGGTTGATGAAGAAGAGTGTAGGATAGCCACGATGTGTTTGAACCGAGATGGTCCCATTGTCCTGATGGATGATGACGAAATTTCGTTCAGGGAAGGAGCAATAGCTAAGCTTCTCACGGGGTGGGGATATCTGATCGTGAAAGGCGATAGCCCATATCTTGGCGCGCAGCTCGGCTGGTAGGCGTGAGAAAGGAAATGGTTTGGACTTTCTCGTAGTCTTGGCCTTTTTCGATTTTCTACCCTTGGTGGGCCAGCACAGTTTGGTAGCTCTTCTGGTGGCTCTTCTGGATTTGGCAGTTAATTTTGACCTGGTAGCTCCTTTGGACTCGGTGAATACTTTGGAAGTATCCGAGATGCGGATGTATCGCTCGTGGTAGGGCTCTTCCACCTCGGCCCATGGCACTATAAGGCGGTTGCTGATCATTTTGTCGACGATAGTAATCGGTAGAAAGTCGGATGATTATGCCATCGTTGGAAGGTCAGCGGAAGGCGCGTCTGCTTGGAGAGTAGTTTTGGTCGCTCTCTTGGAGAAGCGATGGTGTAGACAGAAAGCTCGCAAAGAGTGAGAGAGCGCAGAATTCGCCGTGTAGCGAGACTGCCCATCGCCAAAGGTGAAGGCAGGAGCGTTTGCCGGTGCACGTGACGCCAAGCCCAGCGCGTCGTCATGACGTGATGAGGCACAGTACCGCGACTTCCTCACATCCACTTCGCTGCGCAAATTTTCAGCAGTCATCCGGAACAGCTCTCCATCAGCTGCATCACGCCCAACTTGGACACTGTCGATAATGCGCACGTCTCTCCGGAATGATGACCGGTCAGCCCCCCAGAGTAACTCCTATGATGAGCACAAGGGTCCAGGTAGTCGCAGCTTGGAAGCGTAATCGCCGACGTTCCACCGTTCTTGTGACTCCGGAATGAGTCGTTGGTGTTTTCGACAAGGCAGACTGGATGTATCTTGATCCAATGCTGGAGACGTGGTGTGATTATCAACACACAGGTTGGCGTTCGGCTTACAGCTTAAGCTCGCGAGCAATGATAGTCAGGTATACTTGGGTTTTGCTTGATACTTGCTGAATATGTTAGTCAGTCCAAAGATTGATATATACAAGACCTACAAGTCTGATAACTCCATGTTTCTCTACGACAGAAACGAGTATTGTCCTCTCGACGACAGCATAATAGCTATCTCGCTAATCACCGCTGAGCACTTGTTCATGACATCCGGTAAGTCTCCATCCAGATGAAAACACAAAAGATTACACGGGCGGACTTGGATACTGAGCAGCCGGGTTATCCGGCGAAGACCTATGGCCGGCATTCGACGACGCCGGACCTGTCGCCGCCAGCGCAAAGTACGGATTATCCGGCATAGACATGCGCTTCGGCATAATACTCGCCAAGCTCGGCAACGTAATCTGAACCCTCGTCTCCGGCTTCGGATTAAGCTGAATGAGTAAATCCGCCTCTTTAATCTCCCTCAACACATCCTCAACATCACGCCCCTTCCTAACCCTCCTCAGCAGCTCATACGACTCGCTATCCGGGCTCGTCCGGATCAACTTGAACAGTTCGACATACGCTTCGTTTTCGGCTTCCAAAGCATCGTATTTCCGTTTCAGGGCCTGGCCCTGGGTTTCCGACGACCGGGTAGCGTAGTGGCAGGATGTCGTCCGCTTGACGCATTCGATACAGACAGGACGCTCGCCGTTACATTTGATCTTCCTCGCGCGACATTGGTCGCAAGCGGATGCGACGCGATCACGAGGTAAAGGCGGGAGAGGTTCGTTGCGCGGGCGAACAGCAGACGGGAGGAGTGGTCTGAGTGGACGCATAGCGCTCGATCGAAAACGAAAAAGCCAGCAGCAGGACGTTGCTCAAACAGAACAAAAAGTCGTAAAAACGAAGGCTAGAAACTGATGATAAATACGGTGGTCATGGTGGGGCCCAGAAACGTGGTCTCCTTCCCATCTTTTAAGGGATGGAATTTGTCGAATATCGATGCTGCTCAAAAAAGACCCAGGCCTCCGGGATCTCGATGGTAATTGGAACGCGGCAAGTTTGCCCGCCAATCGGAAGCCAGAGTGATGCGGATTGCGTGCGTCGCCGAACTTCATCTTCTGCGCAGCAGTCTTTTACACAATACGCGTGTTTGGAATGCGAACCCGGCAATTGCCGTTACGTATCGTCATCTTGGTGTTTGTTTAATACGCGTCTTGGTATTGCGGTTCGCGCAAGATGCCCACGTTTCCGCCATGGGGCTGTCCAGCACCGGCATGGCATGATGTCGTTATTTGGAAAAACGTACCACGTCGTGATTGGCGACGGTACGATAACTCCGTGTGTATTTCTCATTCGTCAACAAGACATATACTAGAAAGAGATTCGATGGTGTACTGTAGCAGATGCAATGGTCGTTCCACATTCGTCCTACTAACGGTGCACCTGCAGCTGTGCAAGCAGGGCTTTACTCCGGTTAGCCGCATCGAGATTTCTGCGGCTGCATCTGCCATGCATAGACAGCAGATTTATTTGTCTCCACCGCAATAAGTCTTGGTCTCGTATCGTGCAGTCTCCAATCTCCAAAAGCTACGGCCGCGGTACGCATTACACGGATGGTTTAAGGTGGAACACCTCCTTGGGGTAATCCAGACGTCAACGCAGACAACAGATGGGGTATGCCTTAGCGTATGCTAGTGTGTGTCGGACCTGTACTTCGAAAGGTGAGGGCTGCATGCTACCGATGAGGAAATGGGGTCGCACCGGAGCGTCGTCCGCAGCTCAATTGGTTGTTGTCAGCAAGCGTACGGCGGATGGAGCGTGCGACACGTAGTGGCCATCGTCGGAGACAGAGGCACGCGCTCCAGATGAGGTTGGTAAGCTGGGAGTGCGCGCCATTGGCTGGGAACTCCTCCCGCAGACCCTGATCTGCGAGGGTTTGAACACCGTCATTGTTGTTTACGCTGCTGTGATTTCATATCTCACGATACTTTTGACGATGATGACTCCAGAAGATGAGGTCGACAGTGCCTTGTGGTCTCTATGTTGGAAACGGCTCGAACTGATACAGCGAATTAAGTAATCGGTATAGTTTCTCATTCCGCCGCATGCAACTTGTGGCTTGGACTTTTATGGAGCGAACGCTACGTTATTCGGCCCGCACGCACATGCTCATCGGTGAAGCAGGCCGTTCCAGTCGTGTCTTTTCCGTACCCTCTGGTCGAGAGATGTTGCATGGAAAGAATGAGTCAAGCAGATGTACCATGAAACTCTGTCGGAGTATACCCCGAGTTTACGATAGCTATCCATTCTACCTGGGCAGCACACCTTTAAACGGCGTGATGTCATGACTCGCAAAAGTGAGGTTTTGGTTCGATGTTTACTTTTGCTTCGTCGGCTGTCGTCTGCGCTACAGATAACCGAGATCTCAGGGCTGAACAGGTTGGGGAACAACGTTGTTGATCTTAGGTTAGGATCGAGGGCGGCCGGCTCCGTACCCGTGCTGCCAAGGGCCGCGGTACCCGTGGGTGTTGACGAGGTCTTGACTGACCTTCTTGGAATGAGTCGACCGAGGTGTTGAAGTTGGGGTTACGTTGCATCGTTGTCATCAACCCCATAACATCGTTCTAGTGGGTTTCTTTTTCTCGAATGTCCTACGGCTTACCAATGTGATTTCATTCCTTTGCCATGTATTGTGTGGTATTACTGACCCGTGTTACCAGATATCTGATCATCGAGGTATTCACCCGAACGTCATCGCGAGAACACCGGTCAAGTTCGAGCGCGGTAGGTTGAAGGATATTGCGTTACTGATGCACCTTCTTGACGCACTAAGCGTGCCTGAGAACGACATCAAAGCTATCGCAATCCTACCGTGTACCATATTCCTTCTCAATGACCAACCTGAACCAATATGAGACCCCAGTACGAGTCAAAGACAGACTCTATTCTTCATAGGACATGGGCAAAACCGACTCTCGTCATTGATTATCCTCAATCCTTCATTCACATCACCACTCCCCCTTACAAAACCTCAAAACTCAACTTCGTTTCCTCTTCCCACTGTTTCGCAAACTCCCTCAGCACTGCAGTCCTCTTCCTCGCCATCTGCTTCCCCGTCTCCGTCTTCATCATCCCCTCTAATTTGAACAACTTCTCCTCAAAATGCTCAATCGCCCTATCCATAGGCTCCCCTGGCATCTTAGCCGCCCCATACGAAAAGCAACGCCCTATACCCACAGCACCGATAGCATCAAGACGATCTGCATCCTGTACGATTGCCAGTTCAGGATACGCTGCTAAGACACCCGCAGTAATAACAGGCTCGCGTATCTCGTGTGAATAGGATACATGATTAACGATATTGTCTACGACGATAGCCAACTCGTAACTGCAGCCACGGTTGATTAAGATCTCTGAGATGCGCCTCTCGGCTGATTGGCGCGGTTTGATGTATTTGTGGTCGCCTACGTCGTGTAGGAGGGCGGCGAGGAAGAGGGCTGTGGTGTCGTAGCTGACGGAGGGGTCGCGAGCGAGCTCGGCTTGGAGGATGCGGTGTGCGTTTGAGACGACGCGCAGGATGTGCTTATAGTCGTGGGAGTTGTCGTATTTTGACATGTAGTCGTAGACAAAGTCGTTGATGGATACGAAGAGGGGTATGTACTCTTCGTGGATTGGGACTCGAGGCGCTTGGATGGGGTTTGTGGGTTGAAGCGCCATGGTGTGAGGGTATGGGATGGGTAGGAGGATCGATGTGGTTCAAGCACTGATGTTACTCTCTGATAGAAATCTTCTCAAGTGTTCGCAAACGTAGATTAGGCAGTGACGAGCAGATGAAGGACCCCGATCTGGACCCGACGTAACGAAATAGGGCTCTGTGATGATCGAAGAAATGGCGTCTGTGTATTTTGAAAGGGGTGAGAGACGTGTAACGCGTTTTTCTGCCCACGCGGAGTCACATGATTGGCGACTTTTGTCCCTGAGACCAGCCGTCGCCCCTTCCATACTCCCCAGACACTCTGAACGGCATCAGTGAACATGACATCCCACAAGAGATGCAACCATCTCTCTAAAACTGGCTTAGAACGAGAAGGAACAAATAGGAGTTCACTCATGTCAGTGCAGGTGGAGACGAACATCCGGGGTAGCTGAGCCGCAGCAGCCTCGGTACTTGGCCGGCTGGTAGCGCACGCGATAATGGAGCCATGATCTCACCCTCGCCCTTCGCTCCTATCTACACACACGTGCACTCGGACACGACCACATCCACGTCGCGCAATCGCATCATCTCGGCGCGTCAGCTGGGGCGACTGCAGACATGTACAGGCAGGCGACGCAGAAAACGGGCGAGGTGCTGTCCATGCCGTCGCAGTGGCTGGGCATGTACTCCGACTTCATCACCAAGAACAGCAGCGCCGTTACCCAGATTGAATCCGCACTGCGGTCACTAACATACATTATACCTGGTTAGTCAGCTCAGTGTCTGTATTTGCGCATCTTGCTGATCACGAACAGGCCGCTTCCGGGAATCAGAAGTCGCATCCGAATCCAGTAGGTCGCGTCCGGCTATCGCGCATTCGTCCCGACTAACACCACCAAGTACACAGCGGCGTCCAAGTACTCTCCCTATATCATGACTCTCTCCTCTCAAAAGCCATGGCACAAATGCCCGGAACGCGGCGGCAGCCCCTCACCCCGCATCATCGATACACCAAGTTCTGGACGCAGAACTCGCCCACATACAAGCGCATCGCGCTAGTCCTCCAGATGATCCAATACACAGAACTGCTATGGGAGATGGCAGCGAAGCGGAAGGGCGAGAAGGTGCGATGGCGCGTCGTGGTGTTGCTGGAGATTGTCAAGGCAGTATGTCGGTTGCTGCTGCTTCGATTGACCAACTCGAGACCACTCCTGTCGCCGCCGCTTCCACAACGAGAGATTGATCCGAGCTCGTTGGAGGAGTCTTCGGCATCGGCTGATGGCATGGACACGCCGCCGAGTGAGCGCTCAGTCGAGGCAGAGAACTGGGCAATGCCTAGGACAGGCCTCTCCATGCCCAGCCTACCGGACTCTTCGGATATCTCAAGCTACCTCCTCTCCAAGGTCCTGACTGCGGACGATATCAAGCCCCCGAAGGCCCTGCTCCACCGAGTCAGCGGAAAGGGTGAGCTGGCCGAAGCACTCTACATTCTCCGACCGGTTGTCTACGCCCTGGCTATGCAACATTTCAGTGGCGACAGGAAGAGCTGGAGGCCGTGGTTGATCGGCGTCAGCATGGAGTACGGCGCAAGACAACTGGCCAAGAAGGACTTCCAAGAGCGACTCGCTGGAGGCCTTCGCGGCTTGACTGGACTGGAGAAGGAAGAGCTGCGCAAGCGGGGCTGGTCCCTGGGATGGTGGGCCATGCGCGGCGCTTTCTACGAGAACATCACCAAGTAAGTCTTGTCACATTGACGTTCATTCATCCATGACTAACATTGAACAGGGCCTGGATACACAGTATCACCGGATCGCTGAAGGGCAAGCCTCTTCTCGATATGGTCGGCGGTGTCATCGAAGACTACGAGTTCCTCTGGGATCAGTACTACTTCCCCACCGCTACGCTATGATGGTTTTTTCGTCACGCACTTCCTGGACTAATGCGATAATGTTTGGCCTTCGCTTTTGCATGATTCGATCGCTGGGCTGATCTTGGGTGGTTCCGCGTCTTCGCCTTCGGCTTTTTGTATATTGTCCCTTCTTCAGATACCAGACATTTGCCATTGTTATAGTCCGTTGATTGTAATTGACGTATTTATCTACCGTACTTAGCTGTGCTGAATTATCGCAATTCCCATGTCGCTCACTGACGCACTGCTGGAAGTACTAGCGCGCGAGCTCTGACCCACCCTCACCATGTCCAGTTCCGAAAGCTTCGATGGACACCGCAGAGCCGCATCAACAACAACCACCATCACCGCCCTCCCCCACAATCCCCACCCGTATCGCTGCCAACCTCCCAATACCTGCCCCGGCGATACTGAGTCCACATCCCCAAAATGCCCGCCACCACAGCTGAGACGCTGTCACTCGTGACCCGCAACGTCTCCGTCGCACCGCTCGTCCTCCTCTCGGCAGCCGACCACTACGGCCGCCAAGCAAAGGGAACCAAGAGGAGAGTAGTCGGCGTGCTCCTCGGACAGAACGACGGCAAGAACGTGCGGGTATCCAACAGCTTCGCGGGTGTGTAGCCCCTCCATTGTCCCGTTTGCCGCCTGGACGGTGAACAGGACAAGCGACGTTCCGCCAGCTGACACACCTGCAGTGCCATTCGAGGAAGATGAGAAGGACCCGTCAGTATGGTTCCTAGACCACAACTACGTCGAGTCGATGAACGACATGTTCAAGAAGGTCAACGCGCGCGAGAAGCTCATCGGCTGGTATCACACAGGGCCTAAGCTAAGGGCGTCGGATCTGGAGGTCAACGAGTTGTTCAAGCGATACACACCGAATCCGCTACTCGTCATTATTGATGTACAGCCGAAGGAGGTGGGCGTACCCACAGACGCCTACTTTGCGGTGGAGGAGATCAAGGATGTAAGTGCATAGCAGGCTCGGTGGCGGCGACACCAACGAAACGCTCGGTGGCGGCGACACCAACGAAACGCTCGCCAGTCTCTCATTCTACAGATTCAATGCTGACATACCCAGGACGGCACAACCACATCCAAGACCTTCGTCCACACGCCCTCAATAATCGAAGCCGAAGAGGCCGAAGAGATCGGAGTCGAGCACCTCCTCCGCGACATCCGCGATGTTGCCGTCGGCACCCTTTCCACACGCATAACCTCACAACTGCAATCGCTCCAAGGCCTGCACCTACGGTTACGAGACATAGGCCAGTACCTGCAAAAGGTCCTCGACGAAGACCTGCCCGTCAACCACGCCATCCTCGGCAACCTGCAAGACGTCTTCAACCTTTTGCCCAACCTCTCCACACCCAAGGCCGCACCCGTCGGTGGCGCAACAAACGGCGTTGGATCTGCTGCGGGCCAGGCAGGCGCGGTTGACAACGGCGAGCTAGCCCGCGCCATGAGCGTCAAGACAAACGACCAGCTCATGGCTATCTACCTGTCCAGTTTGATCCGCGCAATCACCGCCTTCCACGACTTGATCGAGAACAAGATACAAAACAAGCAGCAAGCGGAAGACAAGGAGGCGAAGAAAGATGAGGGTAAAGAGGGCGACAAGGAGAAGAAAGAAGGAGAGAAGAACGGCGAGGTCAAGGAGGGGGAGAAGGGTAAAGAGAAGGGTAAGGAGGAGATGAAGAAGAAATAGGCGTAGCGCAATGATGGAGAAGCGCAGGGCAAAGACATGTGTATTATACTATCTCGGAGCCGATGAGAAGACAGTAGGGTCGGAAGTGGCTTCGGGCTAAGCGACCTCGGCATGTGAAGACATGTTATGGATAATGGCTGATAGATGTGATATGATGAAAGAACATGACATCAAGTTGTCTGAGGTCATTGTGGTGCTATTGTCTCTTCTGTTTAGGCCGTGCTGCAGCGGCATTGCGTATCGTAACAGCATTCTCAGCCTCTTCTGCTTCCTACAACAAACATGTACATCTACCTGGCCCCACGACCCCGGAACATCAGCCCAGTAACACGCAATGCTATTGGAACAGATTCAATCCCCCCATCCAGCAGCCCACCCCGCCGCCTCCTCAACACTAACATCCCTCTCCTCCACAAACCCCCCAAACAACCCCTTACATCTCTCCGCCAACACGCATGCTAGCAAGTGTTTACACACAGGCGGCATATCGTCTCCTAAACTCATACCACCGAAGATCCACTCCATACCCTCCTTCTTCGTTTTATCCTCTGCCTGTTTTGTAAGGCCAGACGGTTGATTTGATTTACCCGGATGTACTGCGGTGTTGAGAGGCACAAGAGGCGTAGCTTGACCAGCAGGAAAAGCAGCGAATGCAAACGCAGGACAGGAGCAATTCCAGCCCAGAAGGCGTACTTGGTACGTTGCTAGGGTGTCGTAGGAGGTGGAGAAGCGGGAGGGGCGGTGTTGGGCGGAGCGGACGTAGTGTATTGTGTTTGAGTTGGAGGTGTCTGGTGCTGTAGTCGTGGCGGTGTGGTTTGATGGTTTGTCTGGAGCGGGAGACTCATTAGTGTTTGCAGCATGGGCGTGTGTGCCTGGTTGCTCTTTCTGTTCATTTTCTTGCTGTGATGGCGATGTCTCCTCTGTGTCTTGTATCTGTACGTCTTGCGCTGTTGTTGCATCTCTTTGCTCTGCACCTGCTGCTCGCGCAGCAAGTTCCTCGCCATCGCATATCCGAAATCGCGTCACGAGCCGTCGATCGAGCAGGTCCAACGCGGGTACAAACTCATTCGGGAAGAGTACTTGCAGCGAAAGTAGCTGTTTCCTCGTCGCGTCGGATACATTGTTCAGCGAATTGGCGTTGGCATTGGCATTCGCGTTCCCAGCAGCTTGGTCAATTGACGGCGGAGCTGCTAGCGAATCGAGTAGTTGCGTTACGAAGTGGCGGCTAGAAGGTAATGGCAGTACTGGCGACGCCATGGTAACGCGCAATGGTATAAGGGCATGGTGTTGTGTCGAATTGAAGATGACGTATGTGGGGAATTTGATGGATTGGTGGATTGGTGGATTGAGTCAAGGCTGAGGCAGTCGCGACGGGAGCGCGGGAAAGCGCGGGGCGAGGTCCACGAAGGCACGTGAAACCGTCAATGCCATAACATGTAACTTGATCTGACTATTCCTAGCAATTGAATGCAATAATCTTGATCTCATGCGTACGTGTCGAAGCGGTGAAGCAAATACAGTTTGCGTCATTACTGCTCTACTTGCCCTCAGCCCTGCTTACGCCAACTGCGAGATTGTTGGTCAATTCAACTCCAAGTCTAATGTGCCTGCAGCTGGCAGTCGGCGAGACAGTCTATTTCCGGCAGCCTCGCATTTGTTTTGATGCAGGGCGGACCTGGCAGCAAGCACCCATGACGCCATTTCGCAACGTGGTAATCAAAGGACGGCGCAGCCTTCACTTTTGGCAAAGCCATGAAACAAGGTCCTGCAGCTCGCCATTGTTGTCGTTGAATGGGTGGCAGGTTACCAGCATTACAGATGCAGGGTCCCCCATGGTGCTGGGCGTAGTGGGAACTCGCAAGACGGGGCAGCAAGTCATCTGCTCGCATTGTCCTATCGGCTGACCAGATTCGGGCTGGCACTTTGATGCGCAGATCTACCCGCAGAAGGCGCGGCCAGGCTTCTAGACGGACTGCGACAGTCTGTGGTGTCTGGTGTCGCGATTCAAGGCTATTGATTGAGTTGTGCAAAGCGCGCCATGATCGAGAAGTTCAAAGTCTATTGAGTCAGGATCACATTGCTTTGTCCGCGGAACCTACTCGGCATCGGTCTGGGCCGCGCTCGTCGGCGCAAATGGTGAGGGGTACAGCGGACGCGATATCCTGGGAGATTGACATGGCTGGCATTCAAGGCAAGAGACGGTATCAGGCGGCTGAGGTCAGATGGCAAGCCTGGCGGTAACAGCGCCGTCGAGAGATGAGGGTTGAGGGGTTTCTGGCATACCCCTCCCCCACAGCACGATAACGACGATAAGACACCCCGGGTTTCCGAAGGATGACCTCGACCAAACAGAAGATGGTGTGAAGCCTCATTGCCCCGTGAGCGACGGTGTGCGGAGAGCGTGAGAGATGTTCAGGTGGACAGGCGTCATGGTGTAGATGACCTAGTTATTTGACCAGCTGAGCACGGGGCTCACTTTCACATGCTAAGACGAGTGGTAATCGATAACATGGCGGGAACGTACCGCAGTGGGCTAACGACGCACACATCGCATGTTACCCGCTGCGAGACATGAGCTGCCCTGAGTGAACCTTCTAGTCGGCGCTGGTCCTTTGCAGCTCCACGCCAGTGGCGTCGACTACAGCCGCTTGATGGTGTCCATGTCACAAGACCATGAACGGGAACCGCCATTCCACAGAACTCGGTGAGCAGCCTGTCTTCGGTAGCCGCCGCTGACGGAGGGGGGTTAGATCCATGCAGATGAGCACTCAATTCGGCCGCCACTGGCCGCGAAGGGCAGTTGAAGTGAATTGGGCTCTGGCAGGTCAAGCGTAGGTCAAGCGCAGGGTCAAGCATAGTCGATTGGTGCCGATGATGGGTCAATTGCTGGAATGTGGAGCATGTGGGATAGTCATCTCTGCATTATCGACGGCGGTCAGACTGCACAATAGCGTAGTACGAGGAACGATGACGGAAGCGGTGACTCGGACACTGTCCACCGGAAGCGATCTGTAGAGGGGATTGGAATTGGGCGCTGCGGTGACACGCTGGCTGGGAGGACTGGGAATTGACTGGAATCGGGTGCCAATGACATACTACCAGGCCTCAGTCGCTGCATCCAGGGCGCAATGAGGGCAGGCAACGTGTATGTAGCCCTGGAGCGCAGTGATGATGTGACGATGGGGACGGTTCATTCGGCCCCGATGGACTAGCCCGGTTTGCTGGGACGGAGCGACAGGTAATCGCCTGTGCAGTGACTCAATCTCTCAGACAGTCAGAGAGCATTGCGCGCTCCCAGCTCCGCCTCACGCGTCGCTGCGCAATTGGCCGCTCTCATTGGAGCCCCCTTCGTCTTCCTTCTATTCACTTCTTGGCCGCCCGCATTCGTCAGCTGCCGGCCGCGCGCAACGGGCGCTCCTCTTATGGATGATGCCTGGCCTGGGAGGATGAGAGCCTGCTGGCACGCGCCAACCGCACACCCTCTTTGTCTGGTTCGCTAGCACATGGGCCGCAGTGTCTCAAAGGACAGTCACACTGGCCTTGTCCATCCTGTAGCCTACTGAAACCCCCGACGCGCCTGGGTGGTGCTTCTTATAACCAGCCCGCTCACCCCGTCTGTTTCGGGACGACTAACCTACCACGCAATTCAATCGTCCTAACTCCGCACTGCTTTTTCAATTGTCACGACTGCCTGACTAATTGCCCGCTCGCATAACTGGTATAAGCAGTCGGTCGGACCATTCTGCCGGCTTCCACGGTCACGTTTGCGCCCGGGCACACCTGACAGCATAACTGTGGCGAAGCCGTTCGCTCAACCAAGGCTCCCTCCTTCCACTCATACTCTACCATTGATCGCATTACCAACGCACCACGCTCCAGTGGCTGCCTGGACACATTCATATATCGCTACCGCCCCGACGTTGCGCTTTAACCAAAGGACAAACTTTCGCACCACACCGCAATGGCAAACTTGCACTATAAGACGCCCCCGAGCAATCGGCTCACCGTTTCCTCCCTCCTCTCGCCCCCTGAAATGAAGCGATCAGAGTCGTTTGGCACGTCAATTCCGCCTGCCTACTCTCAATCACCCTTCTCCTCCTTCAATTCAGCACCCTCGCAGTCTGCTGTGAAAACCGACTTCATGGCGATCCAGGCAGCAGCCGCCCACCGCATCGCCTACGCCTCCCCGCCAATCTCCCCATACGACACACAGGCACAGAAGGAGAACATGGAGAGCTCAGAGGAGCAATGCACACGCGATCCCCAGCTGTTCGTCTCGGCTGACGCAGCGGCGCCAATTGCTCACATGCCGCTGTTCCCCGACGAGTCACCCGAGTCAGCCTCGCAAGATGTCATCACCGCGCACATGAAGTCTCATGACTACGCACAACTGCAGAGCAAGCCGAGCCGCGCTGACTACGAATTGGTTGCCAAAGTCCGATCCATCGTCTTCAGAGAGGCCTGCAACAACCCCAAGGCATGGTGGGCTCAAGAACGCGCCTTCGACAAGCAAATCGACGAGGTCCGTAGCGGCCGTGTGCAGAAGCGGCCAGCCTTGAAGAAGCTCGCCCCTGCGCCGTCTTCAAAACTCCGCCAGCCCAAGGTCGCTGTTCCACGGCTGCCTGCTCGCGCCCCTCGTGCCGCACCCAAGGCTAAGCGCACGCCTCTTACTCAGATCCACGACTCATTCGACACCTCCCCCACCACCAAGTCAGCCTCTCCCAAGCCGGCACGGCCAGTGACCAACCGCGACGACTCTGACTACACTGCCATTCCCGACTACGCCCCACCCCTGGACACACTGCCCAAGGGCAACACCAAGGCGCTCAAGGCTGAGTGGAAAGGGCAAGCGCTCTCGCTTGCCGACGACCCCGATCGCGAGCTGCTGCACGAGGCTGAGTTGAACCTCGCTGGCACACTCCGCCTCAACTGCGCCACCTACCTCACCAGCAAGCGACGCATCTTCCAGGCCCGCATCGAGGCTCTCAAGATTGGCAAAGAGTTCCGCAAGACAGATGCCCAGCAGGCGTGCAAGATTGACGTCAACAAGGCTAGCAAACTGTGGCAGTCATATGACCGTGTAGGCTGGTTCAACCCTGACTACTTCCGCCAGTACCTCTGAGCCCGCACCGCATAGCCTTTCCCATTCTTTTTCCTCTTCTTGGTTACGATGCATCAAGTTGCACTTTGCACCTCGCGGCCCACCCGACTGGGCTCGCTTTCTTTGGATAAGACTGGTATGATTACAAGGAGTGATGGATGTCCTCCTCCGCATGATATTACGAACGGCGTTTCGATGGGTTTTATGGGTACTATTGTTGGCATGAACAGGTGTTCGGGAGTGGATACTGTCCTCCCTCATGGCGTTTTTGGGCTTCTCGACTTTCCTTTTCTTTATCTAACGGCATGCGATACCCCTCAGCTCCCACCAACGAATGTTGTAGTCCCGTGTGGACATTGTCGCCGCAAATGCAGGCTTTCTATCATATTTAGTATTAGACCAGAATGCACTATCTCACATAACTTGAATGTTCTCCGCAATGCCTTTGCGTGACGACTTAAATATGCGTTGATGAATTGATGGCGTACTGCGATGCTGCTGCAATGACGATTCCGTGATACGTCCGTGAAAGGCTCAGGGTCTCGGGCGGGGATGCGTAAGCTCCACAGGCGTGCAGGCGTGGCGCGGCTGCTCTGTCACTAATTTGGGACAACGGCTTGGCCGACCTCAAACCCGCGCGTTCCCACCACTCACTCCTCCCGCCCGCGACGACTACCTTTCACTCCACCAATCGACCCGCCGAGTCGCGCGGAACCGCCCATCATGTCGCGCACACAGCAGGTCGAGCACACCGACTCCATCAGCAGCCAGGACCCCAGCCGCGACGAGCCGAAGAAGACCAAGAGCAGGAGGCCGCCGAGTAAGCCTGATATGGACATGCGCGAAGGAGGACATTGCTGATGGGATCTAGATACTGCGTTCAGGCAGCAGCGCTTGAAGGCATGGCAGTAGGTGGAATCAGGGCGGAAGATGGCAGTACCCACGACTAACCGCGCATCAGGCCCATCTTAACGCCGAAGACCGTTCTGCCTCTCTTCTTCATCGTCGGAGTTATCTTTGCCCCCATCGGCGGGCTGCTTCTCTATGCTAGCGCGCAGGTCCAGGAGATCTCAATCGACTACACAAACTGCAACAGCACCGCGCCCGAAGTCCCCGTAAACTTCGACCCCAATGCCGAAAACCCGCTCGAATCGATTCCCGGCGGCAGAGTGTCCGCGACCTTCAGATCCAAGGAGGACCCCCAGGCGATGTGGGGTTGGGGACGCGAGAACTACACCTTCGAATCCGGCGTCGAGCAAGAGACAAACGTGTGCATCCTCAGCTTCAACATTCCGGAAGACATCAAGCCGCCGATCCTCTTCTACTACCGCCTCACGAACTTCTACCAGAACCACCGCCGCTACGTCAAGTCTGTCGATATCCAACAACTCAAGGGTGATGCCCGCAGCGCCAGCGATCTCAGCTCGGGCGACTGCTCGCCGCTGGACGTAGACTCTGAGACAGGCAAGCCGTACTACCCCTGCGGTCTCATCGCGAACTCCATGTTCAACGACACATTCAGCCAGTTGACGCTCGCCAACCCCGCGGGTGGAACAAATGCCGGTGGCCAGAACTACACCATGACTGTGGAGGGAACCTCATGGAGCCACGAGGGTGATCTGTACGGCGAGACAAAGTACAAGCCTGAGGATGTTATCCCACCACCGAATTGGCAGGAACAATACGAGAATGGGCGTTATGGAGATAAGCTGCCGAACCTGCATACCTGGGAGCAATTCCAGGTGTGGATGAGGACTGCGGGTCTGCCTACGTTCAGTAAATTGTACCAGCGTAACGACAAGGATGTTTTGACTGCTGGTACTTACCGTCTTAAGATCTATGATCGTACGTTCTCTATCCCTCTTCCCTTCCACCCACCCCCTCCCCTCCCTTCCTCTCCCCCCCTTTCCCACACCTCCCACTAACTCACCACCCAGGCTACCCCGTCGACAAATACAGCGGCACAAAATCCATCCTCATCTCCACGCGCACCGTCATGGGCGGCAAGAACCCTTTCCTCGGCATCGCATACCTCGTTGTCGGCGGCATTTGCATCTTGCTAGGAGCGGTCTTCCTGGCTACGCATCTGATTAAGCCGAGGAAGTTGGGGGATCATACGTATTTGACTTGGAATAATGATCAGCCTAGTAGTGCTACGACTACGGGGAGGGCTGGTGGTGCGTAGGCATTGGCAGGATGGGATGAGTAGGATGTCTTGTAGGTGTTGTTTGGGCTGGTATCGTACTGTACGTATATCATAAGCCTTTCTTATTGGGCGGACAGGGCGTTTGGGTGTTTTAAGAGCGTAGGGACTAGAGTATAGTCGCTTCTGTATGGACTTTACCCAATCTTATCATATTCAATACTTTGATATCACGCGCACTTGAGGCGTTTTCTTGGAAACCGCCATCAATTGCTAGTCAATGAACTACATCGAATTATCTTATTGGCTATTACTGGTTCCCTAGTAATGAGCGTCGAGACGTTTAGGTCTCATAGCACGTTGCTCTCACCCCGATATGTCCATGTTGTTTGTCCTCAAGGCTGCATTAGGGTTGAATGTGTAATTAAATAGGGTCAGAGGTGCTGACACGACCTTGGAAGAATTCCGGGGTTGGTTCACTGACACGTGATGAGCCTTGGCAAGTCGCGCGGTGCGCGTCCCCGAGAGCCTCTACCACGAACGCGCAAACAGCGTTCTAGTGAACAACAGCCTGCGCATCGCACTGTCCGCACCACTAGATCGCGCTTTCAGGCTTTCCAGACGACATCATGTCGCTGTCATTCGATGATTTCTCAGCCTTGCCCCTCCTTCCTCACCTGGATAGTGCCCCCAGGTGGATGTGGTACAAGCGGGCTGTGTCGACCGCCGAGGATGTTGAGGCCTCAGCCACTGCAGCCTGACACGCACATTCGCTTCCTCAAGCCGACCTTCCTCATCTCCAATCTAGCAGGTTGCTTCTAGCTCTCGCAATCAGCCTGGTAACTGACTACGCTCTTCATGCCCTGCACGAGCACGCGCCGTCATCATCGGATCTTTCAACTTACTGCAAGGCCACAAGGCTACCTTCCGCCGCCCACACATACGGAGTAAACACATGATACGATGCGGCTGCTGCACATCAAGAGCGACGGGCATCTCGAATTCACCAAGGACATCATCCGTGTCGAAGAGATACCTCCCTACGCGATACTTTCGCACACCTGGAAAGAGCCAGAGGTTGTCTTTAATGATCTCAAGAGCTGTGGCATCATGGGGGTTGTTGATCCCGAGAAAAGAGATGGATGGAACAAGATCCAGTTCTGCGCACAACAAGCAAAGCGTGACAATCTAGATCACTTCTGGGTCGACACTTGCTGCATCGACAAGGCAAACAACACGGAGCTTTCGGAAGCGATCAATTCCATGTTTCGCTGGTATCAGAATGCGGACAGGTGCTACGTTTTCCTTACGGATGTTGGGGACAAGTCTTCCGCGGGTGGTAGCAGGCCATCCTCACAATGGAAGACCGCGTTTCGGGCGAGCAGATGGTTCACTCGAGGCTGGACTCTGCAGGAGCTCTTAGCTCCGCGCTCCGTCGAATTCTTCTCGGCAGACGGAGCACGGTTGGGGGACAAAGATTCGCTAAAGCAGACCATACATGAGGTTACCGGGATTCCGATCGAAGCTTTTTCAAGCAGCGACATGTCGAAGTTCGACGTCAGCGAACGTTTCACTTGGGCAGAAAATCGTCAGACGACGCGTGAAGAGGATGGTGCCTATTGTCTGTTAGGCATAGTTGGCTGCTACCTACCACTAATCTATGGTGAAGGGAAAGAGAACGCCTTGAACCGATTAAGGAAAGAGATGCAGGGAGGAGAAAGACTTGCCCAGATACGCAGCTGGCTTTCCGCACCCGATCCATCTAGCAACTATCAAAAGGCGCACAACCAGCGACAGCCTGGGACTGGGCAATGGCTACTACAAGAGCACGAAAATTTCAAGAATTGGAAAGAAGACGCAGCGTCGCGGCTATGGCTCTATGGGATACCAGGATGTGGAAAGACCATCTTGAGCTCTACTGTTGTCGAGCATCTGCAGCACCACTGCGGTGACGACAAACGTAAAGTGACAGTGTACTTCTACTTCGACTTCAATGATGCACAGAAGCAGATACCAGAGCTAATGCTTCGCTCATTACTACGCCAGCTCTTGCAGCATACCATAACGATACCCGAGTGCGTCGACGCATTATTCGCGTCCTGTGGAGACGGGCAGCAACAACCACCGCTGCATAAACTTCTCACTGTGGCACCGCAGGTGATGGGACAATTCACGCATGTCTACATAGTTCTTGATGCGCTAGACGAATGTACACAACGCCCAGGTCTGATGGACTTGCTTATCGCAATAGACGGGTTGCGGCTTGACGGCGTGCATCTGCTCATGACAAGCCGGAAAGAGCGGGATATCGAAACGTCATTGGAAACATTTGTGGTGGAAGACAACATGATTAGTCTTCAAAGAGACGTAGTGGATGAAGACATATTACGATTCGTTCAACAAAAGCTAGATGACGATAGGCGGCTGGAAAAGTGGAACAAGAACCCTGAAGTCAGGCAAGAGATCGAGACAGCACTCATGCGCGGGGCTCAAGGAATGTACGTATATTACCCCAGCTTTGATAGAGCTAAGCCTGACGATGGTGTAGGTTCCGATGGGTTACATGTCAGCTTGACATGATAGCAGAGTGTCGCAATCTAGCGATGTTACGGAAATCGCTCGCGACCTTGCCGAAAACGCTAGACCAGACATACGACCGCATTCTCACAGCTATCAGTGAAGAGGACCGCATCTACACGATTCGGATCTTACAATGGCTCACATTTTCCGCCAGGCCACTTACTCTTAAAGAAGTTGCCGAAATTGCTGCCATCGATATTGGGCGCGAGCCAGCGTTCAATCGCGATGAAGTGTTAGTGGAACCTCTGGAAGCGTTGAAAATCTGCTCCAGTCTCGTCACTGTCAAAATGGAAAAGTCGGACTCTTATTCGGATTGGTATCTTTATATGGATCCGGATTACTATTCGGAGCCTGAAGTGCTATCCGGGATAGTCACCCTTGCGCACTACTCGGTTCAGGAGTACCTTGTCTCAGAAAGAATCAAGCTAGGGCCAGCAAAGCAGTACAGCATGACAGAGTCGGGATGTCACAAAGCAATGACGATAGGCTGCTTGGGGTATCTAAACCAGTTCCAGGAACCATTGACTCCTGAAGTCTACTACGCTTCAGCGCTCGCAGATTACTCCGCAAAATTCTGGAACAATCATCTCCAGAAGACGGGAGATGAGGAAGAAGAAATGAGTCGGCTGGCGATGGATCTCTTGTTCACGAACGATCCTGTATTAGCCAACTCGATCCGAATTTTCGTACCGGATCTGAAAGAAACTTACGATGAACAAACAGGCGAGGATGAAATAGGATCACCGCTTTACTACGCATCAACGATGGGCCTGAAAACGGTTACGAAACTGCTCCTGGACCAAAACGTCGATGTCGACGCGGAAGGTGGATTTCACGGTAGCGCGCTATGGGCAGCCTTTAAGGAAGGCCACTTGGCAGTGGCTGAACTACTAGTCAATGCGAAAGCCGACGTCAATGCTAAGAGTATATACGGGGAATCTGCACTACATGAAGCTTTAGAGCTATACGACAACGACAAGGCGATAGTCAAGGTTCTGATCGATGCAGGCGCCGACGTCAACAAGCGAGATGCAAATGGCTATGCGATACAGCGCGCTGCACTCATGGGCGACGAGGGACTGGTCGAGATGCTCATTGATGCCAATGCAGACATCAACGCTCACGATGAAGGTGACGACCATGCACTAATAATAGCAATACGCCTCGGCAACTACGCAATAGCTCAACTGCTGATTAAAGCGGGGGCCAACGCCAACATGCGAGACAAGGACCACAGTGCACTACAGATAGCTTCATTCCGAGGTGAAGAGTCAGTGGTCAGGCTTTTAATAGAAGCGGGCGCACACGTGAATGCTCTTGGTAACGAAGGCTTCGGCAATGCACTTCTAGCTGCTGCGAAAAGTGGTCATACGGCAGTTGCTGAGTTGTTACTCGACAAGGGCGCCGAAATTGATGTCCAGGATGCCAAGTGGGGTAGTGCGCTACATGCCGCAGTCAGATCATCACAAGAAACGACAGCGGAAGTGTTACTTAGAAGGGGTGCTAGCCTTGCGTCGGACATGCAGTCGAAAGGTGTTATGAACCACGCCGTCGACAGTCCGAATTGTACATCTTCACTTGTCAGGATGTTGCAACAGTACAACGTTCCATTGGACACGATCGACGTTGCAAACATGACTCCATTGCACTATTGTGTGAAGTGGGAGCACGAAGCCGTCGCGCAGCAACTCATTGATTCGGGGGTACATATTGACACCGGAGTTCTTCGGCAGGGATGGTCAAGCAGAGTCGGCATATCAAGAGACAGCCAAGTGAACACTATTTCCGCTGTTTCGAAATTCACCGCAATCGTTCCAAGTCCCCTCCATGACGCTGTCAGCTCAGGAATGATCGGGATGATCAAGTTTCTTATGCAACATGGCGCCGATCCATACTTGATCAATCCAAGCCAAGAGAGCCCACTCGAGCATGCCATTAAAATGAGAGATGACAAAGCAGTCGAAGTACTGCTCAGTATGGGTGCGAACATGTCGCCACCCAACGAAATTCTCGTCAATGCACTTCACCACGCCGCTCAAATTAAGAATCAGAATATCATGGTTGCCATTCTTGAGAGCGAGCAGGCTAAGGCAATCACACTGGTAACGTTGAAGGACGAGAACGGATACAATGTGCTTCATCATCTATTATCTATGAAATCGACAACGCAGGCTACAGATGTCAAGACGGTGCATTGGCTACTAAGAATGGGTGCGAATGCATCTGAGCTTGATCATTTTGGAATTTCGCCTCTAGTGCAATACATCCAAACCTCCATATGGACACTCGACATCGAGATTTGCACATCACTTCTTCGTATGAAAGGGACTAGCTCCTTTATCGGCTCGGAGGGACGGAATCTAGGGCACATGTGCGCTGAAAGACTCGATTTTGGAGTTCCCATACTGAAAGTTCTCAACGAGTACGGTGTTGACCTGGCGAGAAAGGACTGGGATGAGAGAACCCTGCTACATTGTGCGGCTATGAATGGCTCTCTAACCCAGGAATCTTTAGAATTTCTCGTTGAGGTCGTCGGTATCAACGCAAGTGCAGAAGACAAATATGGTTGCACCGCTTTACAATACGCTGTCAAAGCAGCTTCAAAGACCCCCGGATCTATCCGGCCGATCCAGTGGCATTTGGAGAGGACCAGGGACATCTTGACGAAACATCACGTCGATCACATTGATCATGCCAGCGTAAGCATACCGAAAGTTACAGGGGCGGTCAAAGATGGACGAACTGGAAGTACAAGTGATGACGAGGTGGATGACAGCACTGAACGATGAGCTACCTCACGTGCTAGTCAGCATGGTCAATCCGGAACTTGATATGAGGGCCAAGACTGTGCCGATCTAGTTGGTGCATCATTGATAGCATCTCCTACGGTATCAACTCTACTCTTCGGCTCGAGATTCTTGGATATCGTCTCGTCTGCGACCTTGAACGAGCATCGTACTGCTCCTTATAACACTTACACGAACATGTCCGGTACGATCGATAATGAGCTGTGGTAGATTTGTACCAGCTCCATTACCTCTCAATTCTGGTCGCACCCCATTTAAGTAAATCGGAATGAGAAGCAAACAACTTGGAAGCCTACCTCGCCTTTCAGTTCTGTTGAATCTCCAATTCTACACCAATAGGGACTGCAGCGCACCTCTCACGCTGATGATGTATCTCTTTCGTTCATCAGGTCGTACAGTCTCTTCGCCATCAAATTCACCGCGACTTCTCTGCAGTCACAACATCAAGACATTCCAACTGGTGGGATTCCACCTCATGCAGATGCACACGTCGTGAAATTAGTGCTCCGTGCATTGTGCCGGCACCACGCATAACGCCGAACCACGCGACGAGCTGAACCGCGCATTACGCCGTACCTACTGTGTGCAGCCTAGACTATCTCGCTTGCAGCGATCTGTCCAGCCGTCATCGAAATGCCATTGGATGAAGCTCCGAGGTTTTATATTGCGCGGACAGAATGTTGGTTAATGGAACGACGTTCAGTGCGTGCGAAACGGCGGTGAAGTTGAAGTCGAGGAGGTAGGGCCAACACATCAGCAATGCGCATGCGAAAGCGAAAGAGACGTCGTCAAATGTAGGAAAAAGCTTTCACCGCAATGCCAAGTGTGGAGAAGACATGAGCTTGTTTCGTTTCTTCGAAGTTCGCTGGCCTCAAACATGCGGAGGTTGGTTCAAAACAGGGGTCCGGCCCGACAGCACGTTCAAAGATCCGAGGAAGACCTGAACATCTCCGTGCATCCGCGCTCGTCTCGTGATGATCTGGACTCGCTACCTGATCTTTTCATCTACATGAGGGCTAAAGGCGATCAGTAGGAGGCAGACATGGCTAATATTGACTCGTTCGACGTTGATAACAGCGCATTCCCTCTATTCCTAGCACCACCCACCACCTGAACATCTCCAAAACCTCAACATCCAATCCTCCCACACACCTCAAAATCATCATGCAGATCTCCGCCCTCGTCCTCCTTTTCACAGCCACGGCCTCCGTCTCCGCCTGGGTGAGTACCTGATCATCCCCTCAGCCAGCCCAACCCAAGACTACATCCCAGACCGAGTCAATATGCATTCTCTTCTTCATTCACCCGAAGTATCTCTGTTTTCATGACTAACGTTTTGAACCCACAGCAATGTTTCGACCACGACGAACACTTCACCACAAACCACGCCCAACTAGCAGAAGGCAGCGACCCCAACAACCAATGGGGATACTGCCCATCCAAGACAGGGTGCTGCGCAGATGGTAAAACTTGGTATGCGTGCAAGAACGTAAGTTGTCGCCTCTTCTTTACTGTACTGTGCTAGTGTGAGTGGTATGCTGATGATGCATGGATAGGTATGCAAGGGTGGTGCTGCGTGCAGTGTGTCTGGCGACAAGACTTCATGCTAGAACATCACGCCGGTTCGCACGTAGCTAGCTTTGGAATGCTTTTGAAGATATCAAGTTAAATCGAATGTGAACAGCTTCTGTATGGTCAACTTGAGCTCGTGTGATTCGAGTGCGAGGTTCAAGACCCCAGAACTTTTCTCTTATTAGACCAAACTCTACCTAAGTACCTTGCGGTCGGGCAAAGCTTATCTCCTCATCTTATATCTCATATCTCATATCTCGTATCACGATCGGATCAGCCACATCTCACGCTCAGCCATATCTCACGCTCAGCCATATCTCACGCTCAGCCACATCTCACCGTCAACCATATCTCACCGTCAACCATATCTCACCGTCAACCATATCTCACCGTCAATCACATCTCACCGTCAGCCACGTCCTACATCTCATCGTCGTAGCTCGTCTCCAGGCTGCTAAGCCCGAAACCATCGCCCAGGCCGCTCGTCTGCGCAGGTAAGCAGAGGGCCTACTTTCTCGTGAATTCAATCCGTGAAGAAGTACTATAAGCTTCAAGTCATTGAGTAGACAATACAATCATCTCAGATCTCAGATCTCACATTTCATCTCACGGTGCGCCACATCTCACGGTGCGCCACATCTCACGGTGCGCCTCATCTCACGGTGCGCCTCATCTTACAGTGCGCCTCATCTCACAGTGCAGATCTCAGATCTCATATCTCATATCTCATATTTCATCTCCCGGTCAGCCACATCTCACGGTGAGCTACGTCTCAAATCTCAAATCTCATATCTCATATCTCACGGTGAGCTACCACTCCATCGAAGCTACCGCAAATATACCGTATATCAAAGTACAATCTCAATTACAATCCCGAACAAGACTACACAGCAGTCTGAGTTAAAGGCGCAATCTATTCTTTCGGCCAGCGACATCTTGTAGGTCATTTTGTATCTCATCTCGCAGCTAGCTATCCTTTTCTGCCCCGCGCGCTCGAGCCCAAGCAGTCTTCTCGCAAGCGACTTTGGTTTAATGCAAGAAGATCGCAGTTAGCTATATCTCAGAGCCTATGTTTCACGTCTTGTCGCACCTTTAGCGACATCTCACATCGCATATCTTACCTTCGGCCTTATCTCACATCTTATAGTTAGCCACGTCTTACATCTCATATCTCACCTTGCGCCACATCTCACAATCGCATATCTCACTTTCGCATATCTCATCTTGCGCCACATCTCACAATCGCATATCTCACTTTCGCATATCTCACTTTCGCATATCTCACTTTCGCATATCTCATCTTGCGCCACATCTCACAATCGCATATCTCACCTTGCGCCACATCTCACAATCGCATATCTCACGATCGCATATCTCACGATCGCATATCTCACCTTCAGCCACGTCTCATATCCCACCTTCAGCCACATCTCACAGTTGTATCTCACGCTGATATCTCACGGCGATATCTCACGGCTATATCTCACGGTCAGCCACATCTCACCACCTCGACCCCGACTCTAACCCCGTCACGCGACTACGTAGACAATACACACAACAGTTATACAACAGCAAAACACCCGTTTCCGCTCATGCCCATACCCCCTTGTGATATGCTACTGAACTGTATCGTACCTAACGCATTGGTTAAATACGATACAGTTTAGTAGCACATTACACGACGACATGAACAAGATACGTATCCTCGGTACAAACATTACATTAGAAGGATCTAGGACTCTTAGGTTCGTAACAATACAGTTGACATCCCGGTCTTCCACGTCGCCACCAGTCCACACAGCCTTCATCCGATTCAGCTAATTAGCATGAACAGCCCGAGAGCAGGGTACGTCATCTGGAACCAATTCATATCAAGCCCATTGATCGAGTCCACCTGGTAACTAACCCGTTGGCCAGCTTCGCAAGGAAAGCTAGCGACGTTGTATTGATGAGCAGGCTCGATGAGTTGTACAACACCGACAAGACTTGAGTTGCCGACACTCTGCATGGAAACAGTATCAGAAACTTGGTTGGCGAGGCGAGATACGCTGATACCACCCGGAGTGCGAATTTGAACGGGTGCTGTTTCGGGTATGGGAAAGGGCGGGGGCATGTGTAGAGCCAAGGTGCAAGTCTTGCCGGCGAACTCAGCGCGGATATCGTAAACGAAGACGGTTGATATGGTAGGCGATAGCAGGGCAGTATATCCGTTGCCGATCACTTTGGTGGGGTCGGCCTTGTCAATGGGGATGAGCTGGTGGGGGTATTCGAATGGTTCTTGAAGAGGGGTAAAGGTTGGTTGCGGTAGGCCTTCGATATGCTCAAGACCAATTCCAGTGGACGAAGCGGAAAGCGGTGCTGAACTCTGAGCTGTTGGGGTCGGCCGATCAAAGCTAATTACTGGAATGGTGACGATTGTGGGTTGGGATGTCGGAGCATTTACTGAGACATATTAGCTTCTGACTGTTTGCTTTAAGTATTCCTCAGCCCTCTTACTTGACGACCCAATGCCTGATGACATCCCAATACTGCTGCTGCTCGAAGGCTCCTTCCAATGGCCATTAGTCCGTGCAACCCCGTACGGGGCAGGAACGGAACAGAGGCAATTGCAAGAAACCGACAGAAGCGCAGACAGAGCATACAGGAACGACGACAGGATGGGTGACAAGAGGAGCATAAGAAGGTACTAGCTTACCTTGGTGCAAGTGCCCGATCCGCTCTGGCAACCGGTACCGCAGTGTCCGGCGGTGTTTCCGCACCATCCGTACTGCGAGCAGCAGTTACCGAACGGCGAGCCAGCGCAAGTAGCACCTCCCTGGGATCCGCAAGTACCATCGGTGGAGACCTTTTTGGACGGGTTGCTGGGTGCGGAACCAGCAGGGCAAGAGAGGTCGAACAGAGGCTTCACCTGCATCAGATCACCCGCAGGCTTGATGCCGAACGAGGGGACGGGGTTGCCGTACTGGACATCCTGGAGGATGTAGTACCACAAGTTGACGTTGTCCTTGACGAGCTGGCAGGTAACGTCCTCCCAGTAGATGCGGGCATTATCCGCACTGGGCTTACCCTGGTTGAGTGTCTCGCCGCTAACGGGCCATCCGGTCTCGGTAACCCAGACGGGCTTGCCCTTGGCAGCGGCAACAGTCTGGTGGTAGGCGTCGAAGAAGAGCTGGCTGCCTGAACCGACGTTGTTGTTCATGGTAGTCTGGAAGTAGGGGTAGGCGTCCATGCCGATGAAGTCAACGGCTTCAATAACGGGGTTGTTGGTAGCGTTGACGTAGACGGTCCAGGTGTCGACGTGACCGATGGGCTTGCCCTGGAGAGCAGTGCCACGGATGGCATCACGGGTCTGCTTGATGTAGTTGACGAGCTCCTGCGGCTGAGCACCGGCGCCGGACTTGTTCTCGATACCAGTGGGGGTGACACGGTAGAGATCCTCACTGCCGACGGAGATACCCTCAACGAGGTCAGTGAAGGCAGTGCCGTACCGAGCAATGGCGGCCTTGAGAGCAGTAATCTCGTTGTTGAAGTTGGCCTGACCGGCGGAGGCCCACATGCCGAGGAGGAGACCGGTCTTGGTGTTGATAGCAGCCTGGATGGCTTCAATGACGTCGGTCTGGGTGCCGTGCTGGATCATGGTGTACAGACGGGCGCTGGTCCATCCATTGGTGCCAGGAAGCTGCTTGGCGGCGTTGAATTCATATTCAAAGTCGGCCTGAACCTTGGCCTGGTTGTTGTTGAAGTTGGCGCCGTAGTTGAAGCCCTTGATGGCAGCGTTGGCCGAGGTCAAGAGGCCTGCAGCGGCGAGGAGGGTGGAGGAGACGCGCATGGTGGCGGTATTAGGAGGAAGAAGACGATATTAAAAACGTAGAATGAGGTCTTGAGAAGGGAGAAGGGTGCGAGAGAGCGGCGTGGGCGAGGAATGGTGAGCAGGACGCAGCGAAGTATTTATTCACCGGTGACGTTTTGCTGGATCTAGACGTCGCTGCCGTCTGAAGGCTATTCATCGGACGTGCATTAGCCGCACGGTCACAGCTAATTAGTGCCTTCTCGAACGAGCAGGCACGCAGGAACGCGGATGCCGGCGGTGATCCCAACCCTGAAGCCTGGTCAAGCAATCTTGGCATGCAGGCTCTTCAACAACAGCCTGTTCATGCCATCCCCAACATTCTCATCCTTCGCTCGTTGCTGCTTTCATCGCAGTCGTCGACGGTTGAAGCTCACCAAGCATTCTAGAAGGCCCGATGCGGCAAGACAGGGAACGACCCTTTCGCCCCGTCCTCGCTAATCATTGGCCCATGTGGAGAAGCAATACTCAACGGCCAGACAGCGACGTCAAGCCCCGGTATAGGGTCGTATCCGGATAAAAATAACCCAGCATCGACATCATCCCCGCCGCGGGAGATGAGCTGCACATCTCATGATGAGCGTGCAACATGGCACACGCGGATTTATCGAAAATCGTCGACACCTGTGTGGCTATTCAAGTCAATAGTCGATTCATTAACATGAGTGCGACACCCTCATGCGTGTGTATGGTAGACACATGTCCTCGTGTCATCCGTTGGCGTTGCGCACTACCGTGGTTATGAGCTCGTTGTTGACAGCACCGGAAGCACCATCCATCATGGTCGCAGGCCGAGATTCCAGAATGTGGTGACGTGGATAGCGCTGCTGGTCCGAACTCAGGAGAAACGGTGCCGACGCCAGGCACTTTCGATCCGAGCTATGACGCGCATCACCGGCTTCTGATCCGCGGATGCGGGAGGCGAGAATTTGAAGTTCAGACAAGGAAGCGAAGTTGATGTTGGAAAGGTAGAGCATGCGGAGAATTACTCCAGCGGTTTGGTGTCTTGGAAGGCGTTTCGTCCCGGCGCCATGCGCCAATGTCACGAATCGGTACGCTAAGCTTTACCCCTACCACAGCTTCGATATGTCGATGGAAGCTTGGTTAATCGATTAGACACTCGGAGCACTCTGCGATGTCGACGAATCTGGGAGATAACGGGTGGATATCGTGGCTGTGAGGTCGCTAGCAGATATTCCCGCGTTCTATCGGGATTCTAGCCACGCGCACGGTACCCGACGAGAAGCTGCCCGAAATTGCGGACAATATGATTCTGGCACGAGCAGATACCTGCGTTGACGTTACGCGGAGTACCTGCATAGCCAGGTGACTTGACCTGACTGTACGACTGATACTGAGATAACTCATGATCTTACCCTCAGGCGCGTACGGCCAAGATCACTCCGTTAAAGTTGACAGCATGACTTCGGTGAGACTGGACTGCGATACAGGTGGTTTATCAGGTGTAGCTCCGCGACTACATCAACTACAATTCTAAAGTTCAGCAGCATCTGAGTACTATGTTGTAGCATTCCATGGGTATTACTAAAAGGTTGGCAGAGCGCGGTGGCGAATTGATTGTCAGAATGCGATGAGAACGCTCCCGGAGATACAACTCTTTCGTGAAGATATCTCAGCCGCAACATTGCTTGGTGACAAGAAGCGGTGAGCTACTTTTCCAGTATTTCCTTGGAGTTGGTGGCAGACGATGGACCGATGGAGGGCAGTCGATAGATGCGACTGCAAAGGTCCACCGTCGCTTGTTATGGTTCAGCTTTCTGACACCTATCCAACATTGTGACTGTAAATTTTGATGTATCTGGTAGTTGTGTCAAGAGAGTGAGAATGCTGAAGGTGGAGTTGAGCATGAGATGGAAGTCTTGGCATCCCGCTCTAGCGCGATGTCGCGGGCTCATGTTGCCTGAAGCTCCCGGTAGCTAGAGAAACATCGAAGCCGCCAACGCAACTCCGCAACACCTCACCGCCGCCTATACGCCCCCAATCTCGACTTACCTGTTCGAGACGCACTTGGATATCTCACCGCACCTCTCAACTACACTTCCGCACAAGCAGCCGTCATGGTACGCCTCATTGAACCCCGCTGGAGCTCTTGTACTAACATGAGTAGTTCATAGCACGAAGCGAATATGGTAAGCTCTCTACAACAACTATACAGTTGAATCTATACTAACTAAACATCCTAGACCGTGGTATCAAGTTCGTCCACCCCGCGCCTCCCACTGCAAGCCCGCCCGCTCACAAACCAACAGCACCTTCTCGCCCGAAGGCCGTCTGTTCCAAGTCGAATACTCGCTCGAAGCCATCAAGCTCGGCTCAACAGCAATAGGCGTACGTCTACCCCTCCTGTCGCCGATCTCCACAAACTCACAAACAACACACAGGTCGCAACCGGCGAAGGCGTAATCCTCGGCGTAGAGAAGCGCGTCACTTCCACGCTCCTCGAAACCAGCTCCGTAGAGAAGATTGTCGAAATCGACCGCCACATCGGATGTGCCATGTCGGGACTGCAAGCCGATGCCCGCAGCATGATCGAGCACGCGCGTGTCGAGAGCCAGAACCACGCTTTCAACTACGCCGAGCCACTTCGCGTTGAGAGCTGCACGCAGGCGATATGTGATTTGGCCCTGAGGTTTGGTGAGGGTGCTGAGGGTGAGGAGAGCATCATGAGTCGGCCGTTTGGTGTCGCGCTGCTGATTGCGGGTTATGATGAGGATGGTCCGAGTCTGTATGTCACTCCTTCCCATCTTCCCATCATGTCTTCTCCTACAACATCCCCAGCTCTAGAATCAGAATTGTGATTACAAACTAACAACACACACAGCTACCACGCCGAACCCTCGGGCACATTCTACCGCTACGACGCCAAAGCCATCGGCTCCGGCTCCGAGGGCGCGCAAGCCGAACTCCAGAACGAATTCCACAAGTCGCTCACGCTCCCCGAGGCCGAGGTGCTCACGCTCAAGACGCTCAAGCAGGTCATGGAGGAGAAGCTGGATAGCAAGAATGTGCAGTTGGCTAGTGTGACCAAGGACAAGGGCTTCAGGATCTACACTGATGAGGAGATGGCTGAGGTTGTTGGAAGGCTGCCGACGAACTAAGCGATTTGATGGGGGAACGAGAGGATGGCTGGGGAAAGTGGTATATGGGATGGCATATGATAGCATCTTGATAGATGTAAGAGTCACGCGAAAATGAAGCAATGACCAAATGTCCTAGAGATAAAAGTGGCGAACTGTTATGCGGATTGAACGAGCTTATGGTGACGTCTGGCAATTGAGCAGATCGTAGATCAAGATACGACAAAGCACGTTTCAAGCCTTCAACACATCTAAGCCATAAGTACGACACATCATCATAAACACATTCACCCCGAGCATATTGCAATATGTCAACAAAGACAAAAGCGGTCTATTTCCCTGTCTGCAATGCCGATTGTCCCCATATTATACACTCCAGTCCAGTCCAGTCCAGTCCATGCCGCCGAACGCTCAGAAAGGGTTATCCTCAGGCGGTATCTCAACCGTGAAGAACTTGTCCAGGATAGGAATCTTCTTCATGATGTCGTCGCGCACCTTGGGGACTTCGGCGAAGAAGAAGAGGGCGAAGAAACCGGCTACACCGCCGAAGCCGGCGGCGAGGCCACCGCTGTGGATGGGGTTAGTGTGTGTTAGGAGAAGGGGGTGGGTGGTTTGAGGGAGGGGAGGGGAGGGGAGAGGGGTATGGGAGGAGGAATTGGGAGGAGGGGAGGAGGGATGGGGGAAGACGTACTATTTCGCGGCTTGCTTGAGGGTGAGGCCGTGGTAGTTCTTGGGGATGGTGTATCTGTGGTTGTATGTTAGTGTCTGGAGCTTCGAGAGTGCGACGGGCGTGGATCGTATAGGCGGCGCGGGTGTGAGCTGGGCTGTTCCTCCTCTTTTCTATGCGCATCTCGAGCGTATGCGTGGCATCCAATTGCCTATCCCGCTGTCCATCGAGGCGTCGCAACACATCCTCCTCTTCCCACAACTTCCCAACAACTCCCAACCCAGCCCCAACCCTCCCACCACCCCTCCCACAGCCTCGTCGATATCAGAAAATACATACTGAGGGCCAAAAGGACTTCTGTAAGCCTTGTACGGGCTGCGCATGCTCTATTCCCAGTTATTAGCTTCTTCCTTCTTCTTTCGTCATCGCCTCCAATTCCCCCATTGCACGGGCCTCGACTTACGACAGCAGCGGGCGTCTTGCCGTGGTGGCCGAAGGATGAGACAGACATCTTTGGCGAGTTCGTTGGGGTATAAACGCGGGTGGGAAGGGTGATGTCTGGCGTGATGTCTGGTGAGGTTGATGGCGCAGAGAAAGCGCGGGAATGCTGGGCTTGGCGGCGCTGGGAAAAGGTGGACGAATCAGGGTGCGCGGGATTTTGCGGGTGGGTGCGTCAGCAGGGTTGGGGAGGACACCAACGTTTCTTCACTTCACGGTTGAGATGCGCAACTTGACTTCCTCTCAGCCATTCTCGTTTCGATAAGACAGAGAATGACCTGCACGGTACGATCACTTATTGACCTGCTCTTGGGGCCTCAACTGCGACACTTCACGATGGGTGAGGAAGGCACTCAAGAAGCTCCTTGATCAATTGAATTTGATGGCGAACACGAAGAGCTAGACAGTCATCTCGAACTCAGCGCTGAAAAAACGGCATTATCATTGCCCCAGATGATTTCGACCCGTCTGTGGTACGCAAAGGCGCACCTCAAGGTCCATGGTGAAATACTAGGTAAGGCTTGGCATCACGTCAACACCAAGCAAACGCGTCTGCCTTGGCCGTTGGGGGGATAATTTCGCTACGTAAGCTTTCGCATTCTCTACACTTTCTACGACTCTTCGGGTTTCCATTGTCTTCGCTCAAGAGCAATCAACCAGCGCCTCCATCCGCGGACAAACCACCTTCGCTATTCCACCCGCCTTCCCAAGGATACATCTTCGTCAACATCATGTCGACACAGTATGGCCTTGAGAGCGATTCGGATGACGATACAGTGGTACTGCTAGAACGATTCTCTCGGCCGTCCCAATGGTCGAAAACACCCACTGCACGGGCCTTCTATCTATTCCCCCGCCTGCCCGCAGAACTTCGTGCCAGGGTGTGGGCTATCGCGCTACACAGCCAGATAGAATACGTTGACAGCACCGAAGTTAACTTTACCGATGAGATCCGCATTCATCAGGAGGACGAGGTCATCGCACAAAGCCTCCGAGGCTACCCTTCACTCTTCTTCGTCAACCGTGAAGCCCGCTACGAAGCTGCCAGGATCGACGGGGGCTCGTGGTACCGACTGAAGGCTGGTTTAGAGATCTACGCAAACCTCGCCCGAGAGAACGTTATTATCTTTAGTTGCTACCGAGGTCCAAGGCACTTGAACTATCGGTATAATGGACGCTTCGAAAAGCGTGGCTGTGCCGGTCACTGCAAGTGTTGTCGCCCCTGGTAAGAGGACTGGGATGGTTGTTCGGTACGAAGTTGTCGTGGAGGTCAAGCCTCAGTACCGGGAGAGGTCTTGTTACAGCCAGAATGCGGAAGTCTATCAACGCGGCCGATACGGTCACGTATCATGTCGTGCCTGCCGTTCGAATACGACACCGGTGTTGGAAACGGCGGTGGAACCCTGGGAAAGCATGTAACAAATCGACGATAAGGACATATTTCATGCTCAGGCAGCGTAATGGAAGCGTCTCCATCACTCCACGACCATACTCATCGATGCGTTTCTGGTGTTCTTCCAAAGATTTCCAAATTCTTCTTTTTCTATTGCTCGCCCCCGTTGTCGTTCTTCCAAGTCCCAGCATAATGATGCGTAACCAGCTTTGGCGGCAAAAGCTCTTCTTCTTCCTCTTTATATGTATTCGCCGACGCAGCAAACGACCGACCCGGCATGACCAAGACATCGCCCACCAGCTTCGGCTGCACAAGCTCCATCATATCGCGCGCGTCAATCTCCCTATCAAGTATCTTCCCCAAGCTCGTATAAACACTGCGCGTCAAGCGCCGGGGACCCGTAAAATCAACAACATCCCCCATGATATCCATGGTCGCGTTCTGGATCGGGATGTTGAGCTCCGCCGTCTTGTCTCGCAGTGTCTGAAGGATATCGTCGATGACCTGCATCATGTGTGGCGATCGCGGTTTAGCCATTATAGTCCAGCTGGCGAATTCGCGGACATATTCGCCGGGCCAGCCTTGATCGAACTCCCAGCCTACTACTAGCGAAGCGATACCCTCGTATGCGGCTGGCACCCATTCGTCCATGGATATGCCTTCTTCGCAAGAGACGTCTAGGTCGGACCAGATTCCACCTTCGTTCCACAGCAATACGTATCGCAGCATGTCGGCTTTGTAAATAGGGACGGGTAACGCGAGGTAGGCGTCGACGATATCCGGTCGGGATTCCGCAAAGGTCTTACGAACGTACTCATCGCCGTCGTCGTCCGTCAAGAAGTGTGCTTGGTAGTCAGGATTGCTCTTCACACAGCTGTCGGTCCAAGCTCGCGTCTCTTCAGAAAGGCCATTGGGGCCCAACTTGTACCAAATGCGTTTAGGAAACCCGCCGTTCTGCGGTGGCTGCGCTATCGCGGGCGTACCCGGCGCACGGACAGTGAAGTGGTCATGTATGGAGAGAAAGTGGTAAACCAACGCTAATGTGCATAGCGCGATCAGTGTGTAATGATTGAAGACTTTGGGTAGCGACAGTGACATGGTGGGAAAAGCCAACAAAGGGGGAAAAGACAAAGAGGAGGGCACGAGATCGCAAAGCGCCACGGAGGGGCGATCCTTATACAAATGGTGGGCGAACGCCGCAGTGAGACCGGTACCTGCAGCTCGCAGACTTTAGGGGCGGCTGCACGCATTCTATTTTCACGGAGCGCTGAGTGTGGCGCTTAGCTTTCTGTTATCACATCTCGCTTGATGTGGCACGGTAGCGCTGATACATGGGTCTGTTGGGGTTGATGATCTAAGATCACGGCTAATGTTGGGGACCCTTTCAACTGTTGGACCCCCGTGCGAACATATCTCGGCTTCGGAACACGTTCACTTGTACTTCTCGTATTCATACTCCAGTGTTTTATGGCTTGCTTCAGTTATCGTGGCGGCTGCATCATGTCGACCCTAGGCTGACACCCAAAACCGATGAGTACAAAGAAGTTTCATCACGGGGGGCGCATCGTGGCAAGGCGCTGTTGCACCCTACGCCTCTCGCTGCTGGAACAAGAGGAATGAGAGGAGCGGAGTCTGAGCCATGTTACTAGATGCGATTGCTTCGCCCGGTTGCCAGCTTCAAGTTTTGTTCAGCGTGTGTTTCTTGTCACTCGCTGTTCAACCTCACTCATTTCACTTCGATCCTGCTGCTAAACAATCGATCTCGCAATTGCCTAGTCTTTAGAGACGATTCAGTCCGTCATGGCCTTACTAACAACATATACTTTGCTAGCCATACTATCCCCCCACGTATCAAGTCTCGGCATCCAATTCATCAACCCCCCAACCCACGGCACAGACGGCGGCCTCTCCAACCCCCCCACCTACAAGCAAGACTACACCATAAACATCCAATGGTATCCCGGCGACGAAACAGGGCCCTACGACCTAGTCTTGCACCAAGTCAAAACAATCGGCCAGGACCAGACCGGCTCCGGCGAGTTCATCATGCGTAAGTTCATTCATACATAGGAAGGGCCGCTCAGTTCCGTGGCTTCCAAGTTTGATTTACAGAAGCAAAGCTAACATGTGAACCCCAGCGAGTATCGTGAATAGAACGAGTTATCTGTGGCAAGTCAAGACGAATGCGAGGCTGGAAGAGTCGACGCTGTTCTTTCTTAGTGTTTTTTCCGTGGATGGGGATTCGGATACTAGTCAGTATTTTAATATTGTGGATGGGTTTATCGCGGGGAGTGGTGCGTCGTCTGAGGCGGTGGGTTCTTCTACTACGACGACGCGGTCGTTTTGGTCACCAGAAGGATTGTCAACTGCAGCTTCAGCGTCGGCTTCAACGTCGACGACAAGAGTATCCGGCACGACAGGTATGGAATCGGGTACAGGTTCAGCGAGCACACCAACAAGTCCTACCACAAACACCCCGACAAGCACCACCGCAAATCCATCGAACCCTCACGACCAAAACATTCACCAGCATATGCACAACGACTTCCAACTAAGCCACAAGATCGGTCTCGGCATAGCTATACCCGCTACGCTTGCCCTTGGAATAGCAGCTGGCTGGCTACTCTTCCGCCGTCTCCAGAAAAAGAGAAGAAGAATGTCACACCAATTACCAGCTACCGAAATTGAACAGTACGAGCCCGATAGAGATGGTCAGAATCCTAGCGGAGACGTCTACGAAGCGCCGTCGAATCACATATCGGAGATGGGTCAGCCGCATAGGAAGGGCTTTGAGCAGTTGGGAGGTGAGCTGGAAGATAAGCCTGCGGTCGTGCCTGAGGTCTTGCCGTTAAGGTATGAGATGGAAGCCAACAATGTTCATGAGCTTCATGATCAGCCGGTCAAGGCAGATGAGCCTGTGGTCAAGACGGAGGATTGATGCGGCAATGCTATTTGTAGATATCCATGTAGAGGAAAATGGACGTGATCTTGAATGTTGCAATAGTCTCATTACTAAATAAATCATAAACAGTACACGCAACCCGGCATACATGAGGAGCTCTTCCCATGCAAAAACGCCCAAACACCCATCTACCCGTCCATCAACCACCCCACTCCTACGCACCAATAGCCTGAGGATTCCAGAACACACTCTTCGGATCAACCTTTTGCTTCAGCGCCGCCAACCTATCATACACAGCATCGCCATAATACAGCTTATGCGCGGTCGCAGCATCATAACTAGGATCAACATAGTTCAAATACGCGCCAAACGACGTCTGCGGCTGCGCATCGATAATAGCACTATTAATGCCATTGATGAACTCCATGGAATCACCCCCATAGCCATAGTTCTGCAGCACCCACAGACTATCCCTATCGCTGTAGGCAGCAAATTCAGTGTCTTTGCTGTTGATAGCGGAGCCGGGGCCGCCGTAGAGGTTGATGATGATGTAGTATTCCGTCCCGTCGGCTGTCTGTAGGTAATCGTACAGCGCATCCAGAGCATTCGAGGTGAGACCGGTAGACTCAGGGACGGTGACGGACTTGGCGAAGAAGTCCTCGTGCTCGTCGTACCCGGTTATAGGCTCTTTGATGCTGGTCTTGCCGGATACTTTGACCATGTAGTCGTACCAGGCCATGGACTGGACGGTGGCGGTGGGGTTGGGGAGACTGCGGAGCAGCTCGGGCTTGACTTGGGTGTTGAATTCGGACACGCTGCCGAAGAAGGCGCCGCTGAGGCTGTAGCCGCCATAGTTGTCGAGGTAGATGCCGAAGGAGACGCGGTTGTCGACGACGGACGCGTTCTTGGCGACGTCCTGGATGTGCATGAAGGTGTTTGTCCACACGCTCTTGGAGTCGTGGATGCCAGTGAAGCCGAACTCGAAGTACGTGATGCTGGCGGGTGCGGCGTGGGTCTGGAGGTAGAACTTTGTGACGACACCGAAGGACTCGGCTGCGCCCTTGATGGCCCAGAAGATGTCGGGGGACTCTGTGGATGAGGCCTTGATGAGGGATCCATCGGCGAGGACGACGTCGGCTCCGACGACTTGATCCATGGCTAATCCCCAGTGGCGGGAAGTGTGGCCGTAGCCTCCGTGCGTGTAGTGGCCTCCGATACCGACACCGGGGCAGGTACCCTGGGCTACGGCAGCATTGCCTTGGGTGTAGATACCGTCACCTAGGTTGCCCAGGCGAACACCTCCTCCGACTGTCGCAATACCAGAGTTTTTATCTAGTTGAATGGTCTGGAAAGACTGGAGGTTGATCTGCATAGCGCCGTCCTTGCCACCGGAGCTGAAGCTTGCGTAAGAGTGACCTCCGGACTTGGCCTGAACCTTGAGACCAGCTTGAGCGGCGCACACTACCGCATCTTGAACGTGCTGGTTGGTGGTGGGCAGAACAATGACAGCCGGCTTGAAAGGAACGCGCAGGTTGTAAGGCTCCGAAAGCTCAGAGTACTCAGCATCCGAGGTCATCTTGTATGGCACATCCTTTCTGTTCAAGCATTGGAGAGCAGATCCAGATGGGGTTGGAGATGGCGCTGACGATGGTGCCGCTGAAGAAGTCTTGCTGGTGGTAGGTCCTGATCCGGTGTTGCTGCCACAGTTTCCGAAGCCTGCCTGGCATCCAGTTCCACACTGTCAAGATCAGTATATAGTCATTCAAAGCGTATGTGAGTACTCACGTATGCCGATGTCGAGCCGCACCATCCACTCGCGCTGCAGCAGTTGCCTTCAGCAAAACCCAGACATGTGTAACCCTTGGTGCCACCACATGTCGCGTCTGGTGAGACCTTCTTAGTCGGTGTCGATGCCGGCGGTGGAGCCTGTGTCGACGAAGTCTTGACCGTTACTGGAGTTACTTTTGACGTGGTGCTGCCAGTGCATGTGCCGAAAGCTGAGTTGCAGCCAGCACCGCAATGATCCGTGGATGTTCCGCACCATCCATACTGTGAGCAGCAGTCACCGTACGAAGAACCCTTGCAAGTGAAGCCCTTTGCTCCTCCGCAGCTTCCGTCGGTGGAAACAGCTCTCTTGTTCAGCGGCGCAGCTGGCGAGGCGGATGCCAAACCAATAGACAGCAGACCTGCCGTAAGAGAAACGAGGAGCTTCATGGCGACGTTGAAGACGACCATCCGAGTTCAGTCGTCGAAGTCAACCAGGAAAGAGCGTTGTATACCCCAAACGACCGGAAGAAGAAGGACCAAACGAACGGACCGACAAGGTAAGCTTACCCTGATGTTTTATTCTGAACAGCGTAATGGGTATCTCAAATCCAAAAAAATCAGGTCTCAAACAGGTAACTGCCCTCTACCAGGTGTCTCATAAAGGCGTAAATTGAAGTTTAACACGTACTCCACATAGGTGTGCGCGAGGGCGCGCCAAGCCTTCCTGGCTCGGCCGCCGACACCCCGGTGGGTAGCTCGTCTCAAGCTTACCCTGATAAACGAGCGTGGAAAAGCAAAGACCAAGACCAAGACCAAGGCTTTAGAGTAGAGTAAAGTGAGGCCCTATACACAAGGGCAAATCACCTCTTAAGACCACAACCAATACGAGGACATTTGCCTCCTTCGCTGCACATCCTCCCGTACCTGCAGCAGCCGCACGGCCTCGACACGACCTTCCATTGAATGATTGCTCCACTCAACACGATCGAAAACTCATTCTACGCTCTAAAATCCACTGCGCAGCGTATCCTGGTGTCGATCTTAGGACAGCTGTGTGCCCGGTCGGTCCTAATACGAGCTTACTACGCAGAGGCCTAAACGGCGGGCGCTCGTGACGAAAAGCAATTTCGCCGCTCAACGGGTCCTTGGATTTCGTACGAGAGGCATGTGCACGGTAGTGTTGCATTGCGGAAACTTGCAACAATGGGAAACTTAATGGGATTGCGCGGTAGAGAGAGAGACGGTCGCGGCGGTCGCGTTGGAAGGGGTATCCCATCTCTGAAGCTCCGGTCAGACCGCATAAGGAAATGACGTCTGTGTCCCCCCGTCACCCTCGCGCATCTCCATACATCCCTCGCACTCGCACGCCTAGCTCCCCCAAACACATAACTAATCGACCAACACCTCCCGTATTTCTGGCAACACCGCGCGATCAGGCCTTCCAAAGCATGACTTTCGTGTTATTGCGGTGGGGTAGCAGTAAGCTCTTTGTGGGTTGCCGTTGCGGCCCTAACGGCTGGAAGCGACGCTGGGCGGCCCTGCGCGCATGCTATTTTTGGCAACGCGAGATCTGAGTAAGGGAGTTGCGGCATGCGAGGAATACGAAGCTTGCACGGCTTTGACAACATTGCGATCGGTTGGTAGGGGCTTGGCGATGCGTTTGGGGGTGGGTTTGTGTTTCTGGGCGGATGATAGTGGTGTTGGGTTTGGCTTTGGTGTTAGAGAGTGGGCCTTGGGTGATGGGGTTGTGCATGCTGTAGTAGATGGCAAGACGATGAGAGGCCTGCTGATTCGCAGTGTCTGGACTTATCGGAAAGGCAGTAATTGACTTTGAACAGATTTCATTCAAATCTTTAACCATCATAAAGAGTGCAGACGGAACGGAGAAAATAATCGTCGAAACACCCGTCTTACACGCTTCCCCAGACTGGCCCGCGCACCGACACAACCTCGCCGTCTCATCTGGTCTGTCCCTCTTCAAAATCTCCGTAGAGTAAGGAGCAGACGAGAGATTGATATTGCAGAATTGAAAGCGATGTAGTGGGGTTAGCAGCGGTGGCGGTGGCTGGCGATGTCGAGCTGGTGAGGTATTGTCTGGAGGAGCTGGGACATGTGGCCGATGAGGGGAGGTGTCTTGACTTACCCATTTTGGATCTTATAGAGAAGGGGGCTTTGTAGGGTGCCGGAGAAGAAAGAGGAGGTGGTGAGGTTGTTGAAGGCGCATGGGGCGACGGCGAGGGGGACATTTGATAAGGTGGACAGAAAGGCGAAGTGTGTGGAGAGGGAAGAGAAGGAAGGATTGTGGGGTCGGATCGCGAACTTGTTCACGCGCAAGAAGAGGACTAAACAGGAGAAGAGTCAGGAGAGGATTCTCATTGCCGCGGAAAGTCAGGACCATTCTGCTCCTCCAAAGGAGAAGTAATCGATGCATCCCCGTGTATACTACCAGAACCACCACATATCCAGCACTACCTGAACCCTCGCCCCGTCACAACAGAGCCCACATCATTCTCAGCATCCCACCCATTCAGAAACTTCGTTGTCGTCCACATATACCGCTTGTGCGCCATTTCCGCCCCGGTCTCTGTCGTGAACCGCTCGACGTACTGCCCGCCGTGCATATGCCGCAGACAGCTGACATCGAAACCAACCCCAGGCTCCCTGTATCCTTCATGCATACCATGGAAATAGAAATATCGAGCCACGCCCACAGCGCCCAGTCGTTGGAGGTGATATGCATCACGTGAGACGCGGTGGATGGGCTGCTCGTGAGAGAAGTTGGTGACGGTGAACCCTTGCTCATCAATCTGAATAGCACCCGAGAGGCGGGCAGCGAGACAAGACGCCTGCCAAATGATGTTGGGCGGGCATCCCGCTGCCCTCGTGAACTCGCGTACGATTTGCCATTGATTCCGCTTCTCGTCTGAGGAGAGATATCATGCGTCACTCATGTCGTGGGTGATGTCGTGCGTCATGCAGTGTCGAATCAATGTCCCGAGCCCATTGATGCGTCCTCTGTTCTTTCCGCAGAATTCACTCGGCATCGGCGACGACACGCAGGGTGTGTTGGTAGTCGTGCAAAACGGCACGCGGGGTGCGGTCGGGATGTGACAGGTAGACTCTGTTCCTCTGGGTACGGACGGCGACGTTGAGGGCCGTGAACCATGCGAAGTCTGCGTCTTTGATTTCGAGGCACTTCGCGCTGAAGTACGGAAGTGGCTTGCGGAACGGAAGTGTCTTGGTGAACGGGTTGAATGCGAAACCATCAAGTGCTTTGTTGGATGTACTGAAGTTGCGATACCGAGGGCCTCCACCGTGGGCGTCGATGTTAAGATTCGCGCCAGGTCTTGTCACAAAGCCATTGGAAGTGCTTGAGAGCTTTCGGGTCGTTGTGATACCGGCGAAGCGGCGGGACGCAACATTGCTGAGCAACCTCATGTTGAGATTGGAACTGAAGAAGCTGGTGTAGAATAGCAGGGTTTATCGAGACAGGTGATTACATGCGACAATGGGGAAGTCGCGCTCAAGAACCTTGGAAAGGCGTGATCGAAACAGCGTAGAGGCCTTGCGCTAGTCTATTCGCAGTTTTCGAGTCAAAATGCGAGTGAAGACCATATCAGAGTGACGCTGCGTTCACCTGTCCCCGTTTCTTCCACTGCTCCCGCGGTTGCAAGTGTCGCCGTACCCGAGTCCTACAACTTTTACATGTATCTTCGCCATGTCTCCAAGGCTCGGCGTCTCGTCGCGCGGAACACGCTGGGCGGCTGTCCTTCTCCGTGCCGATATACCTTTCATTGCCGATGCTCGTAGCACAATGGTGCGCAGTTTGTGGTTTGTATCGTAGCCGTGGACCAAGAGTATCATCAACCGCCCACCGTCTTACTCTTATCGACAACCTCAACCTGCTCCTCTGCCCCTCCCCCCTGTTCAACTCCATCTACTACCTCCTCTCCCTCTCCCCCTCCGTCCTCACCACCCCCATCGCCCTCCTTACCCTCCGCCAACGCCCTATACTTCCGCCTAGTCTTCTTCCCACTACTAGCCTTCTTCTTCGCCTTCTCCCTCGCCTTGACCTTCGTCCGCGCCCCCTCCCCCAACTCCATCTCCTCAATCCTTTCCTGCAGAATCCGCCTCGCCATCTTCCGATTTATCTCTCTTGACCGCGTATCCTGGTACTTGACTACGATGCCAGTGGGAATGTGTTTGAGCTGGACGGCGGAGGAGGTTTTGTTGATCTTTTGCCCACCGGGACCGGAGCCTTTGAGGAAGTTTTCGATTAGGTCCGCGTCGAGGAGGGGGGTGCGGGGCGGGAGGGATTTGCCATTGTTGAGGGGGGGTGAGGTGGAGAGGGAAGCGGTTTGGAGGCGTGGGATATTGGGGCGGAAGCGGAGGGCGGGGATGAGACGCATTGTTGGGTGTGTGTTAGGGAGGGATACGGCATGGCGGAGGCATTGCAACAGCATTGGCATCGCTGGTCCAGTGTAGAAACTTCTCGCACGCGTGTTCGTTGATGATGCCATGCAGCTCACGCGCTAGACCACCCGCTCCCGATCTTAATCAGGCAATCGCACCATCCCTGCTCCGAATCCGCCGTCCCTGAACCCTTCATCTCCCCCGTCATCCACCGCTCCCAACATTTGCGCCCAGACACATTAACCCTCCAATTCCACCTCCAAACACGCCTTTTCTGTACGCGCAAACACGCCGACGCATAACTGGAAGGTCTATGATTGACACAACAACGCTATCCGCCATCCTCCTCCTAGCCAGCGCATCCACGCTCCTCGTCGCCGCAATGCTGTACCCATCCGCCCTCCTCCGCTGGTTCCAGCGCAAGCGCTATCAATATGAAGTCACCTTCTCGCTGTACATGTTGACGTCGACTGAGAAGTTCATTTTCAGTATGTCCTAAATATCCTGTTTTACCGCATCACATCGCATTCTCAACTCAATTCTTGGACATGAGCCACCGCCCCTATCCGGGTCGCTCTCCTCCTACACCGTCCTTTGGTATTACTTTAGGACAGTTGCTAACGATGTGGTTTTTCCAGACTCCGTACTCTTCCTCCTCCTCTCCCTCCTTATAATCGCCGCGTCGCTGTACCTCCCCGAGCACCTTACCATCATCGCAAACCGCATGTTCTACTACCTATCGGGCAACCACGATTCGCTTTCGAGTAACTCAGTACCTAAAACCGGGGGTATCGATACAGGGATTACGCCGAATGGGCCGCTGGGTGCGGGTGCGGGTGCTATGAACAATGGGCGGGGGATGATGGAGTTATAGGGATACGCACGAAATGGATTAGAAAGGATATCCTGGAGATGATGGGGTCTGGTTAGGGGCGTCGAAGCGATGCTTTGACTGGATGCCCTGGGAACATGGTCGCCTATTGGAGGGCATGAAGTCTTCGGCTTGTTGCGCCCCGACGGAGTTAGGCTTCTACCGCCTACCCTGAGACGACAGTACGGACTCCAAGCGCACAACAGTCCCAAACACATGCATAAGGCAAGGCGCAAGAAGGAGTTCCATTCGCCAATTCAGGCATACCTACATACCTATTCCCTCACGACTATAGACGTACAATAACCTCAGTAATGTTAATACCAAACCACCACCTCATTCTCTCTACGCCCCGCAGACACATCGCATATATCTCGAGTAATCTTTCCAAGAGCATGCACACAGCACGTCACAACCAGCAAACACCATCTCGACCCTAGCCAACACCTCACGTGAACATCGCAGCATGCGCTGTGACATACTTCGTATATGCATCATGCATGTCTGCCAGCATATGTCACATTCCAACTGCATGATACATGGGCGGTTATGCTCGACGCCGAGATCGGATGACTTGTCTGTATGTGTACGCACGCTCTGCGATGTGATGTGACGTGGCTCAAGTACCGCTGTGGTAGACCCCCGACACTTTGGAATCGAGTGAATCATGAGGATTCATGCACAGAATCTAGGGCTCTATCCCCTATTAGAGCACCACCATGGCTCATGATCCATACCCCCCTCCATATCCGAAACCAACCCCTCAGCCCCCAGACTCTCCAACCAAGCATTCATACACTCCCTCAACTTAATCTTCATCTCCGCCTCATCGCCCATACCAGCCGACTCCGGCGGTGTATCCCCCAGGCCATCATCAGCTCGATTGAGGAACGCAGGCCAAAAGTATTCGTTCGCTCCTGCAACAGCACGGTATAGCGTTCTGACCTGGTTTTCCACCGACTGGATAAGCGGTATCCATTCTTCTTTCACGCGACTGTCTATGATGGATAGGATGATGGTACTTTTGCTATCTTTCACCTCGGTGGAGGTTTTACCATGTTTCAGGAATTTCATCTCGTAGACCATGCGGAGTTTGACTAGTAAGATGGCGAGGAGGAACGTAAACGACTCGGATGCAGGAGCCGTGGATCTGGGTTCTCTGAGTCGCTCAAAGACTTCGAGGGATTCGAATGCGTCTTCGCCGACAAGAGGTAAGGTTTCGGAGGTCCAGTCGTGTTCTTCGTCGGTCCCTTTTGTGACCCACCATTTGCAGAAGTCGTAACAGTCTTGGTCGCGCTTTAGGCGGAGGAGCAGCCAGGGTACTAGACAACGCATTTGTAGATGATCCGCAGAATCCAGTCGTAACAGGGCAAATGCTTCGTCTAACGCTTGCTGCACCGCTGCTGTAGTATTGACACTATAAAGCTCATACAGCAGATCCCTCCTCCGGTACATATACTCCCTCGTCGCTTCATACTCCCAAAACCTGCCACCCGCAGTCCTAAACGGGTCTTTAGGCGTACCCGCATCTCCCGAATCCCGTTTCAGCGCATCCTCAGAATCAGCGATGAGGCCGTGAAGTTTTTGGATCCTGTCGCACAATGTCTGGTGTCCTGCCTTGTCGAGGGCTTGATGATCGGTGCTGCAGTAAAACATAGCATTGCAGTCGCTGCATAGGATGAGATTCTCCTTTTCGAAACAGTTTCTGCAGCGACCCATGAGACCGTAGGATTTCTTGTAGGGCAATGGCGCATAGTGTTCGATTACGTGGTGCGTACGCGGCGGCGCGGGATCGGGGTTGGACGCTTTGCGTTTGCGTGGTTTTGGAGATGAGTTGCCTTCGTCCATTTGGGCTCGTTCTCAAAGGTAATGAAACCAAGTATCGTGAGTGTTCAAGTGCTGATGCGGATGAGATGCGTTGAAATGAAAGACGGTGAGGGTGGCTAGGTGGTGTTGCGAAAATAAAAGCGGTCGACCTAGAAAAACGAAGTCGTATGCGCGACAAGAATTGGCCGAAATAGACAGGCCACGATTAGAAGACGTTCAGAATATGCTTAGGGTATGTTCGAAATTTCGTTGGCGCTACGCGTATCAGGCACCATGAACATCAGACCCGAGCACCAGGCCAATACCTACAATTCGTTTGACCTCTTGGGTCTATATATTGGTGTGTATCAGGCCGTACCCTTCAAGTTGATGACGGTAGCGAACATTAAATCTCTAATCCCACCCAAGCCCCTCTCAGTGAGCCATTGCAGCACCATGACCTTGTACCCGTTTGCACCTTCCCAATCCACGTCCACGCCACCTTTACTCTTGAGAACCTCCAGACTCTTTTCCGTGACAGGCCCGTCGTGATACCGTGTGACATTCTTCTCACCCACATTCCCAACCTCCCTCTTCTCGACCGCACGCCACGCCGCGGCAGAGAGCGAAGCCAACCACACGTTGTACGACAACGTGAACGCAGCCCCGATAGTGTATCCACGATCCACTCTCCGTAGATACTCGTTAAGTGTACCCCTCAGTATCGTATCGCAGTACAACCCCTTGCTCTTCTGATCTTGAACAAGAAGGCCACGAGAGACCCACACCAGATTGTACATATCGCGCAGACACCAATTGAATGCATCGGTAACTTCTGCGGGGTAGTATGTTTTGACCGGCTTGGGATGCGCATCGAAAGCTAGCTTGTAGGAGCCGATGATGCCGCAGATGCGGGCAAGTGTTGTTGGGGAAGCGTCCTGGGAGAGGAGGTAGACGAGATGCATTGGCGGGAGATGGATGGGGATGATGTGTGGTTTCGAGGAGGTGCTGAGGAGTTCGTAAAACGAGAGGATGGATGATGTGAGGGTGGTGCTGGAACCTGGTGGGATGGAGACAAGAGCGGAGGTGAATAAGGTGGCTACATGCTCGACTAGGTCGCTTAAGACTTCCTGTTGAGTATCTCTTTGGTCGGCAGCTCCGGACGCTGTCTGGGTTATTTGGTGCTGCAGCAGAGCTGTGTAGAAGTCGACGAGCTTTGTGTATGCAGTAATGCCATGGGTTGCTAGAGCTCGTTCGACAGGGGACAGGTAGGTCGTGTGGGCGTCTTCAAACCCTTCAATTGGGATATAAGAGACCAGTCCTAACAGAGAATCGAGATCTTGCTGACCATCCCATATCGGCAGGTATTCACGAAGAAACGCCAATACTGTAGGATGGAGTGACTTTGATAAGTTAGCCAGTTGCACGTAAACCCTGCTAATGCACTTGCCTTCGTGTACTGAGCGTACCTCAAAAGCCCATCGAGAACTTCAGATAGGTACTGCTCGTTTCCAGTGCCTTGCCGGTACTCCTCAAACTGCTCTTCCAGGCACGTCGCAAGCCAATTTCTTAATCGACTGGCTGTGATTGGTGATGGCTTCAGATCGATGTACTTCTGTAGCAACGGGTCCACGAGGAGCGCTATCAGCTGGCCCGGTGGCTCTATCCTGTCGAGCTTCTCCACAAAATCGTCCACACTATCAATGCCCTCAAGGGTTGCTGAGCTCTGTCACACAATGTTAGTACCTGCCAGGATGATAAACAGAGATGTTCGCTCACCTCGGTCGCATGGTAGGTATGCACGTCCGGAATCGCCGATCCTTTGCTGCCCTTGAGTCTTCTTCGTAGCACCTTGAAACCGTTCTGCCCGTCTACATTCGAGTCGTCTTCCGCCACACTAGCCTCTTGGATGGCAACGATCTTGGCTTGCCATTCGGCATCAGGTCGCTATTGAGTTAGCTTGCATTCGGCAGTGCCACAAGGAGATGCGGGGAAGTAGCGTGGGGGATCTGAGGTTGCATTTGTAGTGGTACGAGAGACGGATACTCACCGGAGCGAACGACTTCCGGCTTGTGGAAGTGCTCCCGAGTATTATATCGGGATAGTAATCCTTGTAGACACGGAGGAGACCTTGGAGCGCAGGCTCGTTGCCGAGGCCGCGAGACAGCTCTAGTCTGGAGTAAGATCAGTTATCGGTATCTACATCGTATTGATGCTGAAAGCCCTGTACATACAGCTGTTGAATCCGGAATGGTTTGACGTGTTTCCTGCGGGTGATCAAGGACAGCAGATGGCACAAAGATGTCCTGCTAAATTTAGCACTTATGTTCTTGGTGACAGGCCGAAGTAACACACCTGATACTGATCATGTCGAGCATGCCGAACAGCACACCATATAGTCGGGACAAGACGCTCGAATCTTCCACGACTTCATGGATTGCGATGAGCCATTTCACAAGACTGTCTTGTGTACCGGGCGAAGGCTTGCCCTTGCCCTGCCCAAGCGCACCAACAATAGTAATGACAACATCGCCTGGAACCTTTTGAGACGGGTACAAGTTCTTGATCAAAGTCGTGATGGTGGTTTGGTCTAGCAGGGTCTTCACCGACGCGAGCTGCACTATGTCTCGCAGAGCATCCTGGTCAAGGCCATCTTCCGAGGCGTAACGGCAGATGACATCGACTATGCTGGAGACCTTGACGGTCCGCTGCTTTGCAGTTGTTCTAGATGCTGCAGGCCGGTGTAAGCACTGATCCTGACCGGGCTCGTTGCCGCATATCGACACCTACCTTGATGCAGTAAGTTTAGCGTCTCCTGCAGCGTGGGCCGCTCTTCTGCTGAGTCCATCAGTAGCTGGCTTGGAGCGAAGTCGATGTGGGGTTACCGGCGACCGATGGCATCACGCTACCAGTGCAACGTGCATACAGTAAGACAGTTGTCAGCCGTTGTTGTATGAGCCGCTGATGATGCAGACGCGTCGCGGTGGTTGTTGACAGCCTGATCGCGCCTTCCCTGTTTCGATGGGCTACGAACAAGCGAGCAGCCCCGCTAACACATCGCAGTCGACACACCCCTTCCACGGTTCACTCTGCTCGCACCAGATTGCTTCAACGATGCCATCAATGTATCACCAGCCTCGAAATCATCGCCAATATTCATGTGTGGGCACACAACAGCGCGGCTGCCGGTCTGGCCATCCGCGGCTCGTTCACGCTACTCGTGCTTGATTCAATCAATCGTGCAGATGTCACCCGCATGGCCGTGTCATCACTGGAGCATGCATCGCAGCTCTCGCCATCGCCACATCGAGGTCAACCCTTTGTGTTACACAGCAAGCATCGAAATGTAATGATTGCGGCTTGCGCAACTACTACTGGTCCGCCATGGATGGTGGCCTTGCGGGTCAGCCATCAACTCAAGCACGCCTCCTGCAACCTTGACTCGAATTGTACTGACCCCCGCGCGTTGTACGCCTTGCCCGCTATGACAAGCACGCGTCGGGTATCGACCTTCATTATCAACCTGGCTGTTGGTCCTTGCTTTGGAATGAGTGGCCGGCTTTCCTTGGATCATCATTCTCTATCAGGACGGCCGACGGGCCTCTAGGACTGCCCTTCATCTACAGTAGGCTGACACGCGCATCCCAAGGCCTACAAGGTGATCAATGTGGAGCCTTGGATCTGCGATTGGATGTGGCGTCATCTATTCTCGATACACGATCCTGCTGCTACCCGATGCAACCGTCGCCGTGCACTTATACGCCCGTTGTGCTCCTTACTGACATGCGCGAGCACGCTACGGCAACGCTTCTGTCGTGTCAGTCATGGCTACGAACGGGAAAACATCATCCAATCGGTAAGATCTCCGCCCACTACGGCAGTGGATGCACTTCTTTATCTGCACCGGAGAGTGCCTGGCCGCGGTCATGTACTACTTTCTTCGTTCTTTATCTGGTATCACCCCAAGTATTACTATCTATCGTATTGACATACATCCTCAGGAGCTTCATTCCAATTGAACAGGGTGGGAGGAGCTTCAGCTACTATTAACAAGGTCACGGTCCACCTAGCGATCCACAAGCACTCGACATCAGCACCTCATTTGACGATTCCTGGGGTGGCTACTGGCAACCTTGCATAGCTGCTTTGTGTACTCCTGAATCCCATAGCCGGGACCGCCTACCTTGCCATTCAGCATAACATCTTACGCCCGTTGCCGGCTGGCTTCGGCTTGCAACGTCAATCGGCACAGTGTTCTGACGGTGTCTCTTCCCTGCAAAAGCAAGAGTCGATTCGCTATGGGAACTTGAGTCTGGGCGATCGAAATATAAGAGCCGCGCTTTTGCAAACGATGCCCAAAGAAATCTCAGATCTTCCTCTCGACTGGCTCACCTAAGATCTTTTGGTGCTTTTTACCGTCACCATAGTAACATCCGCAGCTGCGTAGTGATGGGTGAACGAAAGAGCCAACCGTCCTCAAAGGGCAACACATATCGACCCAAGATGACTTCAGCATCTAGCAGGTCGACCGCGACTCAGAATCCATCTTCCGGAACCGCCATGATTGTGCGATGTCCAACACAGACTCTTGAACGACTGCGGCGCCTGAACGAAGCAGAGATAATTACCCTCTTCACCCCATTTGTATCTCATCCGCCATCGACGACACTGGCAAAGGACATGGACCCTTTCGAGCCTCTCGGTCGCGCTCTACCGAGACAAGTACGACACGTCCCATACCGTCTCGACTCTGGCATGACAGAGATGCACGCCGATTTTCTGCCAACCAGCGGAGCAGTCATCATCGTCATATGCACCACCTCGAATGTCATCAGCAATCATGCGCAGGCTTTTGAACGGCAATTAAAGTTTGCACGGAGCATATCGAAAAAGATATCGAGAAGCGATACTATACCTGGACTTCCAACGATCCTCATTCTCATCGATGATGGCGCAACGGGCCAATCCTATGTTAACGCGGCATACGACTTTCCAGCACTTGTCACTGTCAACGACTATACTACCGCAGCACTCGTGAATGCGGTGCACGTTCTGTTTGGCAATTGAAACCCCCATCCTTTCCGTACGACATCACCTGGCGAATTCACTCTTCAGCGCGAGAAACGAACATGGTCATGAGTAGCTCGAAAGCGCGGTTCGAACAGAACAGTCACTTTACAATCCTATCCACTACATTCAACTCCACAATACGTCATCACTACAACGATGGACGACATAAAGCCACGAACCCGCAACACATCACTCATTCTTATTTGTTACCGTTTCCATACGTTATACAACATGTATACATAGCATTCCCGGTGGCGCGACGTCGCTTCGACTGTTCCATCATCAACCGTGGATGGGTCTTGTCTGTTCTGAGGCATTCTTTCTGGTATATATACTTCGCAATATATCAATACATCGATTCTCTCTCTCAATCATCGACGACTTCAGGGTGACAAAGGCTCATTCCGCGAACGCGCCCAAAAACCAAGACTATACACCAACACGAATGGTAGCAGAGACCAAGACATGGCATGGAGACTACATCGCCAGAATTTGACTCTCACAAGCTAAGAATAACGTACATATATTGTATAGCTAGTCAGTTAGTAGTGGTTTAGTGTCAAGATTTGATGTTCGTGGTACTTCGGCGCCAAATCTCACAGCACCACAGCGCACGGTGCGCCGTAACATGTTGCCAACATATTGGGAATACGTTGGAATCGATTCAGAACCAATCCAAATTGTTCGCCGAAAGTCAAACGTCCAGCTCCATGGATTTGGGCTCGAATGTAGTCTCGCCTATATGCATAAAGCAGCACTGTTCATGCTGGCTATGCCATCCGCCTCGATCTTATCCTCGACCTTATCCTCAACCTTATCCTCAACCTTATACTCAACCTTGCCAAGACTTGATCTGAAGTAGGCTGCAGAAACGCCTGAAGACTTCATCCTCCACGACATCACCCTCAGAGTCTGTCCTGGCGACTCTCATCCAAAAACAGCAACCGACATGAAGTTGGTGTAAAGCCGGTAAATGCCGAGTCTTTACTGAGTCTTTACTGAGTCTTTACTGAGTATTTACTCAGTCTTTACCCGCGCTAACCCAAAACCTTTCGCCCCCCATGCCCAACACACAATTCGCGAGGCAGTGAACCCATGGCATTGTGGCATGCCAACACCACGTTACCAATCTGTAGACATTCAAATAGCTTTCTGAAAGCTTTCGAATTGCAATCTCATGTTCTCGGGCGACCTCGGCTGTCCCTCGCTTCGCAAATGAAGTTCTTAAAGCTCGGCTGTCCCCGAAACAGGCTCCGATGTGTTGAGCTGACCTTCGATCTGAGCTCGGCTGACCTCCGCAGTTAGCTCGGCTGACCTCGAAAATACCTCCGAGCGATGTTGAGCTGTCCCTCGCTTGAGGCTCAGCTATCCCTCGCTTCGCATACAAGTGTGGTTTTGTTCGGCTGACGTCTAAAATTCTGCCGACTTCGTTTTCACCGTCTTTCATCTCATTCTGTCTCATCGCACCCCAACCCATCACGACCTCAACGCGCCGCATCTCGTCGTCATCACAACATGGATCCTGGACGTGAGCAGCAGCGCCAGCAATTGGGCAAGATGGGTCTTCTGGACATAATCGAGCAGCGCGAGAAAGAAGGTAAGCCCCATCTCTCCCGTTCCACACCTCCGATACTGACATCCTCGTCTCCAAGACCGAGCAGCAATGGAAGAATACAACGCCGCCCGCAACACCGATCGAACAGCCGGCAATCGCTCTGCACCCGACACCGATGCTCAGCCGCCCCATCCCGGCTTCAATCCAAACAACTACGGCATGATAATGCCATTCGACGTCTCCGAAAACCTCATCACCGGCTGCAACATCTGCCCGCAACAAACCGGTCTCAGCCGCTGCAGTGCCTGCAAAGTAGTCCACTACTGCAGCCCCGAGCACCAACGCGCCGACCGCCCCGCCCACAAGGTGTGGTGCAAATCCATCAAAAAGATCACGTTCGTCCTCGACAAAGACGAAGCCGCCCTCCGAGCCCACAAAGGCGATATGGATACACCACCCAACGCCTTCGAAACCGCCGTCGGCGACTTCTGGCGTTACAGCGGAACGAGGAATTACATGAGGTCACGCAACGAGCTCTTAAGAGAACTGCCTAGGTTGAATACCAAAGCGGCGGTGGAAGCTGCGCTGGAACACGCGCTTGGGTTGATGCGGTTGAATCTGCAGGATCCGATGTGTGTGAGGAGTATCACGCCGGCGTTTTTCTTGCGCCTGGGACGGGATCAGGAGGCCTATGATTTCTGCAAGTGGTGGGTTACTAAGGGGAGTAGTCTTAGTTGTGACTGGAAGAACGTCAGACAGCTGCCGCATGAGATGGGCAGTGGTGGGGATGCGTGGGAGACTGTGGAGGTGTTTGAACGGGTTAGGAATTTTGGCGATGGTTATGGTGGTGGGGAGAACTTTGCCGTACCCGGTTTCTCTGATTTGTCGCATCTTGTTGCGGTTACGCTGGTCAAAGTACGCATGCTCCTCGATGTCCGGGTGCTTATTGATGGCATTCGGCCACGGGACTTCGGCGACGTGAGCAGCAGCAGCATTGTGTTGCGCGACACGGGAGAGGGAGACATTGGCCAGCCCGAGATTATACTCGAAAGAGTAAAGGATCAGGTCCTGCGGTTGTACCACGCAGTACACAGAGTCAACAAGCACTTCTGGCCTCGAGTGGTAGAGCCCCGGGCCCATCTATTGATGAACCCCCTTAACATCGGTATGGGCGAGGAAACGGAGATGCACAAGGTCTTGCCGGAATACTACTGTGCATGGAGTGAAACACCGGGCGCGATTGAGGTTATCGAGGATATACTAGAGGGACGCGAGATTTCCTTTTCACGCTTGGTCGGAAGAGGGCTTTTTAAGAAGTAGTCGATGCAAGGAAAGTACCTGTATGGAGTTACACAACGCGGACGGACGACAGGGTTGTCGCACGGATACGTTTGTGGAGACGGAGAGCTCGGTTTTCCTTGTTAGGGGGTTGGTGGGGATGAGTGATGATGCTGAGAGACGGGTGAGTGCGTGGAGACCCCGCGAGTTTGAAGTTGAGCGTGCTGAAGCATTGGCCGAGATAGATGGTCTTACTCGATGAAGATGCTTGAGTTCTTAGATAGTTGATCCTGGAGATATTTTGGAGATATGCGAACGTTATCGGCCCAAAAGACGCCACGTGGGATAGATACAATTCGTGTCACATTCCACAAATTGATTATCAAGCTAGACGTAAACATTGCTCTTGAGACTGACTGGATGTTAGGTTTCAATAGCATGTATGCGACACACGCTGTAGTCACCTTCACATTAACCTAAGGAAAATTTGAACAGGTCTGCAGCCTACATCAACATAGAAACATGCAATGTTAGTAATCTAACGTCGATGTAGGCTCTGGGCCTGTTCGTGTTTTCTCTTGTATGAAGTGGCACGGATGCGTCGAGGAACCATAGCGACCAGCACCCCAACAACAAGACCTATAGAGACGAATGTCAACAACTCAGGTATACCAGGGCATCATCTCAACAGCTGCGCCGCAAGAATCACCGAGCTCTGGGGGTTGAGGAGGCAGGGCCAGACTTGGGCCTCGGACACTAATGTCGGGACGTGAAGATGCGTGGGTCTTCCTAGCGGGAATGACTCGCGGCGGCGGATGTTGTTTTGTAGTTGTTGACGAGCAGCATCTCAACGTAGGCCTATGAATCATCGAGAGGTTGTGTAGATTCGCATGAACTGAATTACAGTGCGGACATCCACTCCAGTGAATATGACGCTGAATCCTTCGTGTGAAGAGAGCTGGGATGAAAGCGGAGCTGCAGCTATGACGCTCGCGGGACGCGAAACACGTGCGCCCAAAGTTCCTGGGCATTGGCTGCGCGCAGCTCCCCACCAGCTAAACCCAGCTGCATTGCTTCATTCCCAATCCTCCCATGCAGAGCTTTCCGGCGCCGGCAATTCTTATATCCTGACTATTGCTACTGCGCGTCGCGACTGCTGGAGCTTCCATTTCCTGCAACCAACTACACTCGCTCGCTAAGCCATGAAGTTCGGCACGACACTGCGCAAGAGCGTGTATGCGCCGTGGAAGGACAAGTACATCGACTACGACAAGCTCAAGAAGCTGCTCAAGGATAACGAGGATGACGATTCCTGGACTGCCGACGACGAGAGCGCGTTTGTTGACGAGCTGGCCAATGTGCAGTTGGAGAAGGTGCACAACTTCATCACCGACATCTCGCAGAAGCTGCGCGACCGCACGACGGCATGCGAGAAGAAGCTGGAGCCATTGGCCATAGGGATCCAGGCGGAGGGCAAGGAAGAGGCCAAGGACGACAAGGAGAAGAAGGAGAGCAGTGGTGAGGGTTTGTTGGGCGACGCGTCCGGCGATGCATCCAAGAAACCCGAGCCCAGCCAGCAGGAGAGGGACAAGATCCTCAAGGAAGTCCTGCGCGAGCTCGACAACATCACCAAGGAGACCAAGGAGCTCGAGAGCTTCAGCCGCATCAACTTCACCGCCGTCATCAAGGCCACCAAGAAGCACGACAAGATCCGCGGCAGCTCCTACCGCCTGCGACCTTTTATCGATGCGCGCATTGCCCGCCACCCGCTGCACACCGAGGATGCCTCGCCGCTGCTGTACAGGCTGTCGGCGCTGTATTCTTTCGTCCGACAGAGCCTCGAGGGCAAGTCCAAGGAGGCCTTGTCCTTTGGCGAGACCAGCACGGATGGCGAGGGCTTCACCTCTCACAAGTGTAGGCACATTCCATCTTATTAACACGCACAAGCTAACACACACAGTCTGGGTCCACATGGACAACCTCTTCGAAGTCAAGACCGTCATCCTCCGCCGTCTCCCCGTCCTCGTCTACAACCCCATGTCGTCCAAGGTCGCCGAGGGCACCCAGCGCGACCCTACCATCACGTCCATCTACTTCGATAACCCCAACTTCTCCCTCTACTCGGACAAGGTCAACGGCAAGCCCGATGCCTCTTCGCTGCGCCTCAGATGGTACGGACAGCTCGGTGAGAAGCCCGAGATCATGTTCGAGAAGAAGGTCATCAAGGACGGCAACGCTGCCGAAGAAGTCCGCTTCCCGATCAAGGCCAAATACGTACAGTCCTTCCTCGAGGACAAGTACCACATGGAGAAGAGCATCGAGAAGATGGAATACCGCCCCAACAAGAACCAGGAGGAGGTGGACAACTTCAAGAAGGCTGTAACAGACATCCAGAGCTTTGTCAAGAAGCAGAAGCTGCAGCCAATGCTGCGCGCCAACTACACCCGCACCGCGTTCCAGATCCCCGGCGACAACCGCGTGCGCATCTCCCTAGACACCAATCTCGCCCTGATCCGCGAAGACGCCCTCGACGACGACAGGCCCTGCCGCGACCCCGAAGACTGGCATAGACGCGACATCGACAACGGGCAGATGGAGTTCCCCTTCAAGGCCCTCAAGAAGGGCGAGCTCCACAAGTTCCCCTACGCCCTCCTCGAGATCAAAGTCAAGGGCCTGAAGAAGTACGAATGGATCGAAGACCTCATGCACTCGCACCTGGTCAAAGAATCTCCCCGCTTCTCCAAGTTCGTCCACGGCGTAGCCAAGCTCTTCGAAGACAACGTCAACACCTTCCCCTTCTGGCTCAGCGAAGTCGACAACGACATCCGCAAAGAACCCGAAGCCGCCTTCGACCAAGAACAAGAAAAGAAGCGCAAAGCAGCCGAAGACGAATTCGCCGTCGGCTCCCTCTTCGGCGCGCGCGCAAGCCCCAGCTACCGCGCCTCCATCGCCTCGCCCGTCGGCTCACCAGCCGCAACACGGTCGTCCGTCCCCAAGAGCGCCTCCGCAGCCGCCCACTCCATGCCCGTCACCAAACCCCCCTTCCCCACAATCGGATCGCACCTCTCCCAGCGCTCGCACCGCGACACCGACACCCCCACCACCCGCATAAACGAAGAACCCGATTCCGACGACGAAAACACCCTCCTCCTCGCCGGCGGTTCCAACGGAAAACAGCCCAAGACCAGCAGCAGCGGCGGTCTCGCCTCCCTCTTCCCCTCCTTCTCCACCTCAAAATACGCGCGCAAACAACAACGCGCCATCCAACTCCCGCCCGGCATCCGCGACCCAGGCGTCTGGATCAAAGACCAAGGTCCCGTGCGTGTAGAAGCCAAAGTCTGGCTCGCGAACCAACGTACGTTTATCAAGTGGCAGCACGTTAGCGTCTTGCTCGCCTCGTTGAGTCTGGGTCTGTATAATGCGGCGGGTGAGGCCAATGATATTGCTCGCGCGCTTGCGGTTGTGTATACGTGCATTGCGGCTTTTACGCTTGCGTGGGGGTATGCGATGTATATTTACCGCGCGCGGCTTATTAGGGAGAGGAGTGGGAAGGACTTTGATGCTGTTACGGGGCCGTTGGTGGTTTGTGTGGGATTGGCGGTGGCGTTGTGTTTGAATTTTGGGTTTAAGGTATGTTCTTTCCCTTTCCGTGTCATTCATACATGCGTCATGGATGTGATGGGAAGACGGATTTTAGTGGATGGCATTTGCTAACGTATGATGACAGTACAACGCTCTCGTCAAGGAAAGACAACACCATCTCCACCACCATCACGGCGCTGGTAGTGTTGTTAATGCTAGTCATGGGGCTGAACAGATGGAGCTTAGGGTTTGAGAAAGAACGCGTTCTTCGGAGTTGCACATCGTTTGAAAGAAGAGAAAAAGGGGATTTGCGTTGGTTGGGTTGGATTGGGTTGACTTGGGCGTCGCTGCGTATCTCTTTGTACAACATCAGATGGAAGTAATAGTGATGATACGGATTGTTGAATGGTGCATCATTCTTCATCTTGATACATTCTCTTATCTGGAACTCGTGAATTGTACTTCAAAACGCTCTACCTGTCACGGTGGAAGAGCGTGTTGCAAGGGTAAAGTAGCCTCCACAGATAGCTCTTAAGATATTTTGCTAACTTGTTACTAGTATGTAGCCTTCTTGCTATGCTTAGCTAACGCGGTTCTAAGATATCTTGTTATTTGTGCTAATAGTTTGATAGGTATCAGCTGGTAGATAGATTGGATGGAGAATCGGGTACATGTCAGCGCTATTGTGGTTAAGTCCGCAGGTTGAGTAGATACAGTTCAGGGGCTTGTGCGATCGTGAGGGTCGGGACGATTGGGAGGGTGACAGACATGGCGTGTGGTAGATAGCGTTCGTACCCAATACCACGTCAATCTAATAAAACCTGCACATCCTAGAGCCTACATTGCCGTTAGTCGACCTACTTGGCAGAGTTTTGTTGTGATGTAGTCCGCAGGCCTGTTCAGTTCTTTTCTTAGTTGACGTGGACGTGACTTTGTGACAGATTCGCTTGTACAGCGATGTACATGTATGTCATGTCAGCGCTATAGTAGTCTAGTTAGTCTCCATGTAAGGAGATACGGTTTAGGGGCTGTGCGATCGTGAGGGTTGTACGGGGTTGGTGACTAGGCATGTCAGGTTGATCGTGTGTTGAACTTGTAATAGTCATCATCACGGATGCGCTAGAATGTCATGATACTTGTTGGACTGATCAATTGGATGGAATGAGATGTTTTGTGTTATATATTGGTTTTCTGAGTAAAGGTGATTGGACGTGAGGCGCCATCATCGCGGTATATGAAAGCGTGATTATGTGATATCGTGATGAGTATGTGTTTGACATAAGTTTGCGGACGCGAGGATTCCATGTGATGGTAGGGAAGAAGGACGTGTATTTTGTATACTGTTGTCGATACGCTGGGTGGATGTATACGGTAGCTAAGACATCATCTGCTGATCCAGGACGTAATGGCTGTGCGTATGCGGCAGAGCTACATGCTGCATGCTACTGGTCATGTTCTGG